GGGCACCCAGGGACCCCCAAAATCCCCCCCAGGGACCCCCCAAATCCCCCCAGAGAACCCAAAAACCCCCCCAGGGACCCCCAAAATCCACCCCGGGGACCCCCAAAATCTCCCCCAGGGACCCCCAAAACCCCCCCAGGGATCCCCAAAATCCCCCCCAGAGACCCCCCAAAATCCCCCCCAGGGACCCCCAAAATCCTCCCCAGAAATCGGGGAGGGACCCAGGGACCCCCAAAACCCTCCCAGGGATCCCCAAAATCCTCCCCAGGGACCCCCAAAATCCCCCCCAGGGCACCCAAGGACCCCCAAACCCTCCCCAGGGACCCCCAAACCCTCTCCATGGACCCCAAAATCCCCCCCAGGGACTCACAAACCCTCCCCAGGGACCCCCAAACCCCCCCCAGGGACCCCCAAAATCCTCCCCAGGGCACCCACGGACCCCCAAAATCCCCCAAGGAACCCCCAAACCCTCCCCAGGGATCCCCAAATCCTCCCCAGGGACCCCCAAACCCTCCGCAGGGACCCCCAAAATCCCCTCCAGGTACCCCCAAAACCCCCCCAGGGACCCCCAAATACCCCCCAGGGACCCCCAAAATCCTCCCCAGGGACCCCCAAATACCCCCCAGGGACCCCCAAAATCCCCCCAAGGAACCCCAAAATACCCCCCAGGGGCCCCCCCAAATCCCCCCAGAAATCCCAAAATCAGCCCCAGGGACCCCAAAATCCCCCCCAGAGACCCCCAAAATCCCCCCCAGGGCACCCAGAGACCCCCAAAACCCTCCCCAGGGACCCCCAAAATCCCCCCAGGGACCCCCAAAATCCCCCCAGGGACCCCCAAAATCCTCTCTGGGTCACTCACGGACCCCCAAAATCCTCCCCAGAAATCGGGGAGGGACCCAGGGACCCCCAAAATCCACCCAGGGACCCCCAAAATCCCCCCAGGGCACCCAGGAACCCCCAAAATTCCCCCCAGAAATCGGGGAGGGACCCCCAAAATCCCCCCCAGGGACCCCCGTTAACCCCCCGGTACCCCCGGGCCGCGCTCTCCCTTTGCTCTCCAGGAAGCTCCGCAGCCGCCGCTGCCGCTCCCGGCCCCGCTCGGCCTCGCCCGGAGCCCCCCGGGACCCCCGAGACCCCCGCGGGACCCCCGGGGCGCTGTGGGGGAGAGAATGGGGGGCGAGAATTGGGGGGTTGGGGGTTCCAGGGGGGGTTTTGGGGGTTCCAGGGGGGTTTGGGGGTTTTTTTGGGGTTACAGGGGGGGTTTGGGGTTTTTTTGGGGGGTTCCAGGGGGGTTTTGGGGTTTTTTTTGGGGGGTTCCATGGAGGGATTTTGGGGGGTTTGGGGTGTCAGAGGGTCCTGGGGGTGTCGGGTTTGGGGGTTCCAGGGGGTTTTGGGGGGTTTTTTTGGGGTTCCATGGGGGGGTTTTGGGGTTTTTTTTGGGGGATTCCAGGGGATTTTTGGGGTTCCAGGGGGGATTTTTGGGTTTTTTTTGGGGGGTTCCAGGGGGTTTTTGGGGTTCTATAGGGGGGTTTTGGGGGGGTTTGGGGGTTCCAGGGAGGCTTTGGGGGATTTTTGGGGTTCCAGAGGTTTTTTTGGGGGTTCGAGGGGGGTTTTTGGGGTTCCATAGGGGAGTTTTGGGGGGTTTGGGGTGTCAGAGGGTCCTGGAGGTGTCGGGTTTGGGGGTTCCAGGGGGAATTTGGGGAGTTTTTTGGGGTTCCATGGGGGAGTTTTGCGGGGTTTTGGGGTTTCAGGGGGTCCCGGGGCTGTCGGGTTTGGGGGTTCCAGGGGGGTTTTGGGGGTTCCAGGGGTCTTTGGGGTTTCAGGGGTTTTTTGGGGTTCCAGGGGGGGTTTTGGGGTCCAGGGAGGGTTTTGGGCTGTTCCAGGGGAGTTTTTGGGGTTCAGGGGGGTTTGGGGGGCTCCAGGGGGGTTTTGGGGTTCAGGGGGGGGTTTTGGGGTATCAGGGGTGTTTCGGAAGTTTTTTGAGGTGTTCTGGGGGGTTTTTTTGGGGTTCGGGTGTTTTTGGGGTCCCCACCCGTCCCTCGGGGCCGTCGCCGCTCTCTGCAGCTCCGCCTCGATCTCCCGTTGGGTCTCCTCCAGCTCCTGCAGCCAATCAGAGCCCTCCGGGATCCACCCACAGCCAATCAGAGCCCTCCGGGATCCACCACCTCCCCAGCCAATCAGAGCCCTCCGGGATCCACCCCCAGCCAATCAGAGCCCTCCGGGATCCACCCACAGCCAATCAGAGCCCTCCGGGATCCACCACCTCCCCAGCCAATCAGAGCCCTCCGGGATCCACCCCCAGCCAATCAGAGCCCTCCGGGATCCACCCCAGCCAATCAGAGCCCTCCAGGATCCTCCCCCCGGCCAATCAGAGCCCGGCAGGATCCACCCCCAGCCAATCAGAGCCCGGCAGGATCCACCCCAGCCACCCAGCCAATCAGAGCCCTCTGGGATCCATCCCCAGCCAATCAGAGCCCTCCAGGATCCACCCACAGCCAATCAGAGCCCTCCGGGATCCTCCCCCAGCCAATCAGAGCCCTCAGGGATCCACCACCTCCCCAGCCAATCAGAGCCCGGCAGGATCCACCCTCAGCCAATCAGAGCCATCCAGGATCCACCCACAGCCAATCAGAGCCCTCCAGGATCCACCACCTCCCCAGCCAATCAGAGCCCTCCGGGATCCACCCCCGGCCAATCAGAGCCCTCCGGGATCCACCCCAGCCAATCAGAGCTGTCCGGGATCCACCCCCTCCCCAGCCAATCAGAGCCCTCCGGGATCCACCACCTCCCCAGCCAATCAGAGCCCTCCATCACCCCAGGCTCCACCCCCAGGGTTCAGGAGGATTTTTGGGGGGCTCACGAGCATTTTTGGGGTGTCCGGGGGATTTTTGGAGGTTCAGGAGAATTTTGGGGGTTGTGGCATTTTTTGGGGGGCTCAGGATGATTTTGGGGGTGTCCGGGTTGTTTTTGGGGATTCAGGGGGAATTTTTGGGGTCTCCGGGGTGTTTTTGGGGCTTCAGGGACAATTTTTGGTGTGTCCGGGGTGTTTTTGGGGGTTCAGGATATTTTTGGGGTGTCCGGGTTGTTTTTGGGGGTGTCCGGGGAGTTTTTTGGGGGTTCAGGGGTGTTTTTGGTGGTTTCCGGGGTGTTTTTGGGGGTGTCCGGGAAGTTTTTGGGGTGTCCGGGCTGTTTTTGGGGGTTCAGGATGATTTTGGGGTGTCCGGGGTGTTTTTGGGGTGTCTGGGTTGTTTTGGGGGGTTTCTGGGGTGTTTTTGGGGTGTCCCGGGTGTTTTTGGGGGTTCAGGATGATTTTGGGGTGTCCGGGGTTGTTTTTGGGGTGTCTGGGGTGGTTTTGGGGGTTCAGGGAGAATTTTTGGGGTTCAGAGCTGGTTTTGGGGGTTTAGGTGTGTTTTTGGGGTTCAGGGGTGTTTTTGGGGGTGGCCGGGTTGTTTTTTGGGGTGTCCGGGGAGTATTTTTGTGGGTCTCCGGGCTGGTTTTTTTGGGGTTCAGGGGTGGTTTTTTGGTGGTTCAGGGGTGTTTTGGGGAGTGTCCGGGGTGTTTTTGGGGGTTCAGGGAGAATTTTTGGGGGTGTCCGGGCTGTTTTTGGGGGTTCAGGGGTGTTTTTTGGGGTGTTTTTTTGGGGTTCAGGGCTGTTTTTGGGGGTCTCTCACCCGCAGCCGCCCCCCCAGGATTCGCTGCAGCCGCCGCCGCTCCGCCCGCAGCTGCTCCAACTCCCGGCGCAGGTGGGGCAGGACCCCCAGAGACCCCCCGAGAGCCGCCGCGGCCTGGGGGCACCCCAAAAACGGGTCAGGGACCCCAAAATCGGGTCAAGGACCCCAAAAACGGGTCAGGGACCCCAAAATCGGGTCAGGGACCCCCAAAATGGGTCTGGGACCCCAAAAATGGGTCAGGGACCCCCAAAAATGGGTCTGGGACCCCAAAAATGGGGCAGGGACCCCAAAAATGGGTCAGGGACCCCCAGGGACCCCCCGAGAGCCGCCGCGGCCTGGGGGGCACCCCAAAATCGGGTCAGGGACCCCAAAAATGGGTCAGGGACCCCCCAAAATGGGTCTGGGACCTTAAAAATGGGTCAGGGACCCCCAGGGACCCCCCGAGCACCGCCGCGGCCTGGGGGGGACCCCAAAAACGGATTAAGGAACCCCAAAAATGGATCAGGGACCCCCAAAAATGGGTCAGGGACCCCCAAAAATGGGTCTGGGACCCCCAAAAGTGGGTCTGGGACCCCCACCCATGTCCCAGGGACCCCCACCCATGGGTCTGGGACCCCCAAAAATGGGTCAGGGACCCCCAAAAGTGGGTCTGGGACCCCCACCCGTGGGTCTGGGACCCCCAAAAATGGGTCTGGGACCCCCACCCGTGGGTCTGGGACCCCCACCCATGGGTGCCCCCCCCACCCTCTGCCGTTGATCCTCGAGCAGCTCCAACCGGCGCTGGGCCCCGTCCATCTGGGGTGGGGGGCACTGAGACCCCCAAATCCCCCCCCAAATCCCATCCCAGACCCCCAAATCCTGCCCGGACCCCCCAAAATCCCATCCCAGACCCCCAAAATCCTGCCCGGAGCCCCCAAAATCCTGCCCGGACCCCCAAATCCCCCCCCAAAATCACATCCCAGACCCCCAAAATCCCATCGCAGACCCCCAAAATTCCATCCCAGACCCCCAAATCCCCCCAAAATTCCATCCCAGACCCCCCCAAATCCCATCCAGGACCCACCAAATCCCATCCCAGACCCCCCAAATCCTGCCCGGACCCCCCAAATCCCATCCCAGACCCCAAATCCCATCCCAGCCCCCCAAAATTCCATCCCAGACCCCCAAAATCCCGTCCCAGACCCCCCAAATTCCCCCAAACCCCCCAAATCCCCCCAATTCCCACCTCCCCCTCCCCGTACCCCCCAGAATTCCTCAATGTGGTCCCGGACCCCCCAAATCTCCGCCCCCCCCCCCAATTTCCCCCCCGGACCCCCCAAATTTCCCCTCGCGCGCGCGGACCGCGGTCACGTGACTCCCCCCGCCGTTGCTATGGCGCCGTTGCCAGGGGGCGTGGCCTCCACTCAGCGCGAATCAACCAGTCAGAGGCCGGGAAGAGCTCGGGCGCGCAGCCAATCACAAACAGGGCGCGGTCGCCGCGCCAACAGCCAATCAGAAGCTGTTATTTACCCCTAAACCACGCCTTTCTCCTTCTCGACCAATCAGAGCGCAGCGCGCCGCCGGGAGGGGAGAGGGGGGAACCCAAAAAACCTCCCAGCCAATCAGAGGCTGCCAAAGTTTTCCGCCAATCAGACGCCCCCCCAAAAAGCAGCAACCAATCAGAAGGCGGGATTCGGCGGTGGGCGTGGCCAGGGAAGGGTGTGGCCGTCTGTGGGTGTGGCCATGGTGGGTGTGGTCACTTGGGGGCGTGGTCAGGGGTGGGGAGGCCACGCCCACTCCGGCACGGCCCGAGCGGAGCTGCGGGAGAGGCGCGACCCCCAAAAAGTGGGTGGGGGGGGGTTGGGGGGGATTTGGGGGGATTTTGGGGGGTTTGGGGGGATTTTGGGGGGAGTTAGGGGGGTTTGGGGTGGGATTTGGGGGGGATTTGGGGGGATCTGAGGGGGTTTGGGGGGGTTGGGGGGGTTTGGGGGGATTTGGGGGGATTTGGGGGGGATTTAGGGGGGTTTGGGGGGTTTGGGGGGCTCTGAGAGGGTTTGGGGGGATTTGGGGGGGATTTGGGGGGGTTCAGGGAGATTTGGGGGGCTCTAAGAGTATTTGGGGGGGATTTGGGGAGAATTTAGGGGGGTTTGGGGGGGTTCGGGGAGGATTTGGGGGGCTCTGAGAGGAGTTTGGGGGGATTTGGGGGGGATTTGGGGGGCTCTAAGAGTGTCTGGGGGATTTTGGGGGGGTTGGGGTGGAATTTGGGGGGGGTCGGTGAGAGTTTGGAGGGATTTGGGGGGCTCTGAGGGGACTTGGAGGGATTTTGGGGGGATTCGGGGGAGATTTGGGGAGCTCTGAGAAGATTTTGGGGGGATTTGGGGGGCTCTGAGAGGATTTTGGGGGGATTTGGGGGGGATTTGGGGGGCTCTGGGAGGATTTTGGGGGGATTTGGGGGGCTCTGAGGGGGTTCAGGGGAGGATTTGGGGGGGCTCTGAGAGGGTTTGGGGGATTTGGGGGGGTTTGAGGTGGGATTTGGGGGGATCTGAGGGGGTTCGGGGGATTTGGGGAGCTCTAAGAGTATTTGGGGGGGATTTGGGGGGATCTGAGGGGGTTCGGGGGGGGTTTAGGGGGTTTTTAGGGGGCTCTGAGAGGGTTTTGGGGGATTTGGGGGGGATCTGAGGGGGTTTGGGGTGGGATTTGGGGGGATCTGAGGGGGTTTGGGGGGATTGGGGTGGGATTTGGGGGGATCTGATGGGGGTTTGGGGGGGTTTGAGGTGGGATTTGGGGGGATCTGAGGGGGGTTCGGGGAGGATTTGGGGGGCTCTGAGGGGATTTTGGGGGGATTTTGGGGGGGATTTGGGGGGCTCTGAGAGGATTTGGGGGGGATTTGGGGAGGATTTGGGGGGCATTTGGGGGTCTCTGAGGGGGCTTGGAGGGACTTTGGGGGGATTTGGGGGGCTCGGAGGGACTTTGAGGGGGCTTGGAGTGGAATTTGGGGGGGCTCTAAGAGCGTTTGGGGGGCTCTCGGGGGGTTTTTTGGGGGGACTTCGGGGTTTTGTGGGTCTCTGAGGCTTTTGGGGGTCTCCACAGGAGTTTTTGGGGGGCTCCCGGGGGGTTTTTGGGGTTCTACGGGGGTTTTTTGGGGGATCCCGGGGGGTTTTTGGGGGGCTGTGGGGTTTTTAAGGGGATTTTTGGGGTGCTCCCGGGGTTTTTGGGGTGCTGTGGTATTTTTGAAGTGGTTTTTGGGGTGCTCCCGGGGATTTTTGGGGTGCTCCCGGGGGGTTTTGGGGTGTTTTTTTGGGGTGCTGTGGGGTTTTTAGGGGGATTTTTGGGGTTCTGGGGGTATTTTTGGGGTGCTCCCGGGGGGTTTTTGGGGTGCCCGACCCCCTCTCCTCAGCCCCCCATGGAGCTGCTCCCGGCCGCCGTCAGCGCCCTTCACCTGCTGGTGCTGCTGCTCCTCTTCCTCGCCACCCTCGGCAAGGTGGGACCCCCAAAAAACAACCCCGGGACCCCCAAAAATAGCCCTGGGACCCCCCAAAAAAACCCAGGGACACCCAAATATCCCTGGGACCCCCAAAAAACAACCCTGGGACCCCCAAAAAATACCCTGGGACCCCCAAAAAATACCCTGGGACCCCCAAAAAATACCCTGGGACCCCCCAAAAAACACACCAGGGACACCCAAAAATACTCTGGGACCCCCAAAAAAACCCTGGGACCCCCAAAAAAACCCTGGGACCCCCAAAAAACAACCCTGGGACCCCAAAAATACCCAGGGACCCCCAAAATACAACCCTGGGACCCCCAAAAAATTCAAGGGACTCCCAAAATACACACCAGGGACCCCCAAAATGTCCCTGGGACCCCCAAAATATCCCTGGGACCCCCCAAAAATACCCTGGGACCCCCCAAAAACACACCAGGGACACCCAAAATATCCCTGGGACCCCCAAAATTCTCTGGGACCCCCCAAAAATACCCTGTGACCCCCAAAAAACAACCCTGGGACCCCCCAAAAATAGTCCAGAGACCCCCGAAACTCCCCTGGGACCCTAAAAACATCCCTGGGTCCCCCAAAATATCCCTGGGACCCCCAAAAATCATCCCTAAAACCCCCAAAAAACACACCAGGGACCCCCCAAAACACACACCAGGGACCCCCAAAATATCCCTGAGAACCCCAAATTATCCCTGGGACCCCCCAAAAATACACTGAGAACCCCAGAAACACCCCAGGGACCCCCCAAAATATCCATGGGACCCCCAAAATACCCTGGGACCCCCAAAAATATCCTTGGGACCCCCAAAAATACCCTGGGACCCCCAGAAACACCCCATGGACCCCCCAAAAAACACCCCTGGGACCCCCCAAAAATATCCCTGGGACCCCCCAATAATACTCTGGGACCCCCCAAAATGTCCCTGGGACCCCGAAAAAACAACCCGGGGACCCCCAAAAATACCCTGGGACCCCCCAAAATATCCCTGGGACCCCCCAAAACAACCCAGGGATACACAAATATTCCTGGGACCCCCCAAAAACACCCCCGGGACCCCCCAAAATGTCCCTGGGAACCCCCAAAATATCCTTGGGACCCCCCAAAACAACCCAGGGACACCCAGATATTCCTGAGACCCCCCAAAAAACACACCAGGGACCCCCAAAATATCCCTGGGACCCCCCAAAATTCTCTGGGACCCCCAAAAAATACCCTGGGACCCCCAAAAAATTCCAGGGACCACCAAATGTCCTTGGGACCCCCCAAAAAACAACCCAGGGACACCCAAAAATACCCTGGGAGCCCCCAAAATATCCCTGGGACTTCCCAAAAAACACACCAGGGAACCCCCAAAATATCCATGGGACCCCCAAAATGTCTCTGGGACCCCCAAAACACCCCTGGCACCTCCCAAAATTCTCTCAGACCCCCAAACCCAGAGTGGGACCCCCCAAAAAACACCCCCAGGACCTCCCAAAACCAGAGTGGGGCCCCCCCAAAACTCCCCTGGGACCCCCAAAAAACAACCCTGGGACTCCCCAAAAACACCCCAGGGGCCCCCAAAACCTCCCTGGGACCCCCCAAAAATAGCCCAGGGACCCCCAAAAACATCCCTGGGACCCCCAAAAAAACACCCCAGGGACCCCCCAGAACATCCCTTTTTGGGGGTGTTTTTGGGGTTTTTTTTGGATTTGTTTTTGGGGTGTCTTTGGGGTGTTTTGGGGGTGTTTTTGGGTTTATTTTTGGGGGTGTTTTTGGGATGTTTTTGAGATATTTTGGGGGTGGTTTTGGGATATTTTTGGAGGTGTTTTGGGGGTGTTTTTGGATTTGTTTTTAGGGATGTTTTTGGGATGTTTTTGAGATATTTTTGGGGTGTTATTGGGACATTTTTGGGGTGTTTTTTGGGGTGTTTTTGGGACTTTTTGGGGGTGTTTTTGGGGATGTTTTTGGGGGTGTTTTTGGGATATTTTTTTGATATTTTGGGGGTGTTTTTGGGACATTTTTGGGGTGTTTTTGGGGGTGTTTTTGGGATATTTTTTGGATATTTTGGGGGTGTTTTTGGGACATTTTTGGGGTGTTTTTGGGGGTGTTTTTGGGGGTGTTTTTGGGATATTTTTGGGACATTTTTGGGGTGTTTTTGGGGGTCCCTCACCCCTCCCATGCCCCCCAGGGCTGGTGGGTGCTGCCGGACTCGCAGGCGCTGAACCTTTGGTTGGACTGCGCCCCCCAAAACCTCACCCGGGGCTGGGAGTGCCGCAGCCTCGGGCTGAGCCGTGAGTGGGGTCCCGGGGGGGGGGTTTTGGGGGTCCTGGGGGGTTTTGGGGGTCCTGGGGGGGGTTGGGGGGGTTTTGGGGGGGTTTTGGTGGTCCTGGGGGGTTTTGGGGGAGTTCCCTTGGCGACCTGGGGGGTTTTGGGGGTCCCTTGGGGGGGTTTGGGGAGGTCTTGAAGGGTCCTGGGGGGTCCTGGGGGTTCTGGATGGGTTTTGGGGGTCCTGGGGGGGTTTTGGGGGAGTTCCCTTGGCGACCTGGGGGGTCCTGGGAGGTCTTGGGGGTCCTGGGGGGGTTTTGGGGGCATCTTGGGGGTTCCTGGGGTGGGTGTGGGGCATCCTGGGGGGGGTTTTGGGGGTCCTGGGGGGTTTTGGGGAGGTCTTGGGGATCCTGGGGGAGATCTGGGGGGTCCCTGGGGGTCCCGGGTGGTTCTGGAGGGTCCTGGGGGGGTCCCTGGGGAGTTTCTGGTGGGTTCTGGGGAGACTCTGGGGCAGTTTTGGGGTGTCCTGGGGGGTCCTGGGGAGGTTCTGGAGGAGTCTTGAAGGGTCCTGGGGGGTTCTGGGGGGTTTTGGGGTGTCCTGGAGGGTCCTGGAGGTTCTGGATGGGTTTTAGGGGGTCCTGTGGGGGTTTTGGGGGGTCCTGGGTGGTCCTGGAGGGTCCTGGGGGGGTCCCTGGGGAGTTTCTGGTGGGGCTCTGGGGCAGTTTTGGGGGATCTTGGGGGGTTCCAGGGGTGTCCTGGGGGGGTCCTGGGGGGGTTTTGGGGGGGCTGTTCTCACTTTGGGGGTCCATGCTGGGTTTTGGGGTGCCGAGCTCGTTTTTGGGGGGCTGTGCTCAGTTCGGGGGGGCTGTGTTGGGTTTTGGGGTTCCGTGCTCATTTTTGGGGGGCTGTTCTCACTTTGGGGTGCCGTGCTCGTTTTTGGGGGTCCATGCTGTGTTTTGGGGGTCCATGCTGTATTTTGGGGTGCCATGCTCGTTTTCGGGGGTCTGACGGGGTCCCACCGCCCCCCAGCGCTGCTCAGGGGGGTTCAGGGGCTGATGGTGACGGCGCTGCTGCTCTCGGCCTTCGGCCTCCTCCTCTTCCTCGGGCAGCTGCTGGGGGGGCCCCGCGGCCGCCTCTTCCTCCCCGCGGCCGCCGCGCAGCTGCTGGCAGGTCTGCACCCCAAAAACGGGGGTCCCCAAAACCCCTGGGACCCCAAAATACCCCGGGACCCCCCAAAAATCCCTTGAGAGCCCCTAAAAGTCCCTGGGACCCCCAAAAATCCCCTTGGGACCCCCCAAAAATACCCTGGGACCCCCAAAAATCCCTGGGACCCCCCAAAAATCCCCAGGGACCCCCAAAAACGGGGGTCCCCAAAACCCCTGCCACCCCCAAAAATCCCCTGGGACCCCCCCAAACTCACCTGGGACCCCCCCAAACTCACCTGGGACCCCCCAAACTCACCTGGGACCCCCACCAAACTCACCTGGGACACTCCAAACTCCCCTGGGACCCCCCCAAATTCCCCTGGGATCCCCCAAATTCCCCTGGGACCCTCCCAAAATTCACCTGGGACCCCCCAAAATTCACCTGGGACCCCCCAAATTCCCCTGTCCCCCACCAATGTCACCCCTCCAGTGTCACCCCCCACCCCCAGTGTCACCCCCACCCTGTGTCCCCCACCAATGTCACCCCCCCAGTGTCACCCACCCCTCCAGTGTCACCCCCGGTGTCACCCCCCCCTTCGGTGTCACCCCCCCAGTGTCACCCCTCCCTCTGGTGTCACCCCTGGTGTCACCCCCACCCCATGTCCCCCACCAATGTCAGCCCCCATTGTCCCCCCCCAGTGTCACCACCCCCGGTGTCCCTCCTGCAGTCCCACCCCGTGTCCCCCCACAATGTCACCCTCCTGTGTCACCCCCCCTTGGATGTCACTCCCACATTGATGTCACCCCCACATCGATGTCACCCCCCCATCGATGTCACCCCCACATCGATGTCACCCCCATGTCAATGTCACCCCCACATCGATGTCACCCCCACGTCGATGTCACCCCCACGTCGATGTCACCCCCACATAAATGTCCCCATCCTGATGTCCCCCCGGGTGTCCCCGCAGGGATTTCGGCGCTGATGGGGGCGGGGCTGTTCCTGGCCAGCGGTGACCACCCTGGGGACCTGAGTGACCACCCAGGGGTGCTCGGTGGCCACCCGGGGGTGCTCGGTGACCACCCAGGGGTGCTCGGTGGCCACCCAGGGGTGCTCGGTGGCCGTCCCGGTCATTGCCCGGTGCTGGCCGGGCTGGGCGGGGCCCTGGCGTTGGTCAGCGGGGGCGGTTACCTGCGGCTGAGGGGGCGGGGCTGAGCCCGGGACACGCCCACCTGGACACGCCCATCTGGGACACGCCCACCTGGGACACGCCCACCTGGGACACACCCAATGGACACACCCATGGACACACCCATGGACACACCCAATGGACATTCCCAATGGACACACCCAATGGACACGCCCAATGGATAAACCCAATGGACACGCCCAATGGACACACCCAATGGACACACCCAATGGACACACCCAATGGACACGCCCAATGGACACACCCAATGGACACACCCAATGGACACGCCCAATGGACATGACCAATGGACACACCCAATGGACACACCCAATGGACACACCCAATGGAGACACCCAATGAGACACCCAATGGACACACCCAATGATGCACCCAATGGACACACCCAATGGACACGCCCAATGGACACACCCAATGGAGACACCCAATGGAGACGCCCATGGACATGGACACACCCAATGGACACACCCAATGGATACACCCAATGGACACGCCCAATGGACACGCCCACCTGGGACACACCCAATGGACACGCCCAATGGACACACCCAATGGACACGCCCAATGGACACGCCCAATGGACACACCCAATGGACACACCCAATGGACACACCCATGGACACACCCAATGGACACGCCCATGGACACACCCAATGGACACGCCCATGGACACACCCAATGATACACCCAATGGACACACCCAATGGACACGCCCAATGGACACGCCCAATGGACACGCCCAATGGACACGCCCAATGGACACGCCCAATGGACACACCCAATGGACACGCCTATGGACACGCCCATGGACTCACCCAATTGACACGCCCATGGACTCACCCAATGGACACACCCAATGGACACACCCAATGGACACACCCAATTATACACCCAATGGACACACACAATGGACACACCCAATTGGCGTGGCCAATCGCATCATCAGCCAGATGGGCGTGGCCGGCAAAGTCAGTGACGTCATTGGGAGGCCGCGGGCGGCCAATGGCAGAACGGACACAGCCAATGACGTCACCGACAGGATGGGTGTGGACAATGACATCACTGACAGGATGGGTGAGGCCAATGACATCAGTGAGAGGATGGGTGTGGCCAATGACATCATCAGCATGGGCAATGACATCACCGACTGGATGGGCGTGTCCAGTGACATCACTGCAGCCGTGTCAACATGACCGATGACATCATCAGTGTGGCTAATGACATAATCTGGGGTCTCTCTCTCTATGGGTCTCTATAGGGTTTCTATAGGGTCTCTATGGGTCTGTATGGGTCTGTATATGGTCTTCATGGGTCTCTATAGGGTCTCTGTAGGTCTCTATGGGTTTCTATAGGGTCTCTATGGGTCTTTATAGAGTCTCTAAAGGGTCTCTATGGGTTTCTATAGGGTCTCGGGTCTCTGTGGGTCTCTATAGGGTCTCTATGGGTCTCTGGGTCTCTAGAGAATCTCTATGGGTCTCTATGGGTCTCTGGGTCTCTATAGGGTCTCTCTGGGTCTCTATGGGGTCTCTATGGGTCTCTATGGGTCTTTGGGTCTCTATAGGGTCTCTATGGGGTCTCTATGGGTCTCTATGGGTCTTTGGGTCTCTATAGGGTCTCTATAGGGTCTCTATGGGTTTCTATAGGGTCTCTGGGACTCTATGGGTCTCTATAGGGTTTCTATGGGTCTCTCTCTACAGGGTCTCTATAGGGTCTCTATGAGTCTCTATGTGTCTCTATAGGATCTCTATGGGTCTCTATGGGTCTTTGGGTCTCTATAGGGCCTCTATGGGTCTCTGTGGGTCTTTATAGGGTCTCTATGGGTCTCTATAGGGTCTCTATGGGTCTCTATAGCATCTCTGTGGGTTTCTATAGGGTCTCTATGTGTCTCTATAGGGTTTCTATGGTTCCCTATAGGTCTCTATGGGTCTCTGTAGGGTTTCTGTAGGGTCTCTATGGGTCTCTATAGGATCTCTGGGGGTTTCTATAGGTTCTCTGTGTGTCTCTATAGGGTTTCTATGGTTCCCTATAGGTCTCTATGGGTCTCTATAGGGCTCTATGGGTCTCTATAGGGCGCCTTTGGCCACGCCCCCCCGCATTGACCACGCCCCCACCGCAACCCCGCACGAGGCAGGGGGCGGAGCCTCGCCCAGGCCGCGGCCAATCAGAGGCCGGCGCGCGGGGCGCCCCCTAGCGGCCGCGCGAGGAGGAAAAAGGGCGGGAAAGCGCTGAGGGGAGCCGGGATGGAGGAGGGCGGGAGAGACCCCAAAACTCCACCAGGAGACCCCAAAACCTCCATGAGGACCCCCAAACCTCCATCGGGACCCTCCCGGACCTGAACAGGAGGTTCTCCATCGATGGGTGAGGCCTTGGCTCCGGGGTCTGGCCATGGCGGGCTCCCCTCGTTGCGCTCCCCTCAGGCTGAGGGTGCCAAGATGGCGGGCGGCCGCCATTTCCCTCACCCGCCTCCCCTGATGCCACCGTGGGGATCTCAGCACGGCTCCTGTCCCCTCCGTGTCCCTTGTCATCCTCGCTGCTGCTGGCGCCGTCACCCAAGCGTGGCCCTGGACTGGAAGCAGCTGCTGGGCAGGTGATGGACGGGGCTTGGGCAGCGCCTGGGGCAGCGGCGCGTGGAGGAGCTGTCCCCACACTGTCACCTGGGCTTGTCCCCAACTGTCACTTGGGTCTGTCCCCACACTGTCACCTGGGTCTATCCCCACACTGTCACCTGGGCTTGTCCCCTCTCCTGTCCCCAGCTGTCACCTGGTTCTGTCCTCACACTGTCACCTGGGTCTGTCCCCTCTCCTGTCCCCACACTGTCACCTGGGCTTGTCCCCAACTGTCACTTGGGCCTGTCCCCTTTCCTGTCCCCACACTGTCACCTGGGCTTGTCCCCAACTGTCACTTGGGCCTGTCCCCTTTCCTGTCCCCACACTGTCACCTGGGCTTGTCCCCATCTGTCACCTGGGCTTGTCCCCATCTGTCACCTGGGCCTGTCCCCTCTCCTGTCCCCAGCTGTCACTTGGCCCTGTCCCCACACTGTCACCTGGGCTTGTCCCCATCTGTCACTTGGGCCTGTCTCCTCTCCTGTCCCCACACTGTCACCTGGGCCTGTCCCCACACTGTCACCTGGGCTTGTCCCCAACTGTCACTTGTCCCCTCTCCTGTCCCCAGCTGTCACCTGTCCCTGTCCCCACACTGTCACCTGGGTCTGTCCCCACACTGTCACCTGGGCCTGTCCCCTCTCCTGTCCCCATCTGTCACCTGGCTCTGTCCCCCACACTGTCACCTGGGCTTGTCCCCTCTCCTGTCCCCACACAGCCACTTGAGCCTGTCCTCTCACCTGTCCCCATGCTGTCACCTGTCCCCTCTCCTGTCCCCTCACCTGTCACCTGTCCCTGTCCCCTCACCTGTCCCTGTCCATGTCCCCATCCCCTGAAGTGTCCCCGTTCCTGTGGCCACCATAACCCTCCCTGGGATCTCCTGCCCCACACCCCCAAACCTGCCCCACACCCCCAAACCTGCCCCACACCCCGGGACCGGTACCGGGAGGGGCGTGTCCGGTACCGGGAGGGGCGTGTCCGGTACCGGGAGGGGCGGGGCCTGTACCGAGAGGGGCGTGTCCGGTATCGCAGGAGGCGTGTCCGGTACCGGGAGGGGCGTGGCCAGTACCGCAGGGGGCGGGGCCGGAACCGGGAGGGGCGTGTCCGGTACCGGGAGGGGCGTGTCCGGTACCGGGAGGGGCGGGGCCGATACCGGGAGGGGCGGGGTGGTACCGCAGGGGGCGGGGCGGTACCGGGAGGGGCGTGGCCGGTACCGGGAGGGGCGGGGCCATTACCGGGAGGGGCGTGTCCGGTACCGTAGGGGGTGTGTCCGGTACCGGGAGGGGCGGAGCCGATACCGGAGGGGCGGAGCCGGTACCGGGAGGGGCGGGGCCGGTACCGTAGGGGGCGGAGCCGGTACTGGGAGGGGCGGGGCGGTACCACAGGGGGCGTGTCCGGTACCGGGAGGGGCGGGGCGGTACCGCAGGGGGTGTGTCCGGTACCGCAGGGGGCGGGGCGGTACCGCAGGGGGCGTGGCCTGTACTTGGATGGGCGGGGCCGGTACCGGGAGGGGCGGGGCCGGTACCGCAGGGGGCGGGGCCGGTACCGGGGGGCGTGTCCGGTACCGCAGGGGGCGGGGCCGGGCCGGTGTGTCCCGGTGACCGGCGGCGGCAGCGGCGGGGATGCGGCGGGGAGCGTGAGAGGTGAGCGCCGGCTGCAGACCCCCCCCACAGACCCCCCCCACCCCGGGGACCCCCACCCCAACACCCGGAAACCCCGATGGACCCCCCCGGTACCGAAAACCCCCCCCCGGTTTTCCCTCGAGACCCCCGAATCCCCCCGGGAGCTGCCCTGAGGACCCCCCGTCAATGCTCTGACTCCATCACTGACCCCCCCCCGGGACCCCCGACCCCCATCCAGCCCCCCAACAACCTGACACAGCCCCCTGGGGTCCCCCCCCCAGCTCTCTGACACCCCCCGGGACACCCCAACACCCCCCGGGACCCCCCAACACCCACCGGGACCCCCCCCGGACACCCCCAACTCCCCCCGGGACCCCCCAACACCTCACAGCCCCCCCTAAGGACACCCCCAACACCCCCCAGGACACCCCCAATAGCCCCTGGGACCCCCCAAAACCTCACAGAGCCCCCTAAGGACACCCCCAACACCCCCCAGGACACCCCCAATACCCCCCGGGACCCTCCAACACCTCACAGCCCCCCCTAAGGACACCCCCAACACCCCTCAGGACACCCCCAACACCTCACAGCCCACCCCAAGACACCCCCAAACCCCCCTGGGACCCCCCCCAGGACCCCCAACACCTCCCGGGACCCCCCAACACCCCTCAGGACACCCCCAACACCTCACAGCCCCCCCTAAGGACACCCCCAACACCTCCCGGGACCCCCTAACAGCCCCCGGGACCCCCCCAGGACACCCCCAACACCCCCCAGGACCCCCCCAGGACACCCCCAACACCCCCTGGCACCCTGAGACCCTCTCAGGACCCTCCTGCACCCCCCAGTCCGGACCCCCAACTCCCCCTGGGACCCCAATATCCCCTGGGACCCCTCCCCTATTTAACCCACCCCAACACCCAAAATCATCCCTGATACAGAACCCCCACCAAGACCCCCCCCACAGCTCCCCGCCACCCCCAAAACCCCCCAAAACCCCCCAACAACACCTCCCTGACACCCCCAAACAACCCCCACATACACCCCCAAACAACTCCACACCTCATAACACCCCCAGACATCTCCAGGACAGCCGGACAACACCCTGACAACACCCCGACACCCCAAAACCGCCCCCCCAGCACCCCAAATCCCCCCTCTCCCCTTTCCCCGCGGGCTGGGGACACCCCGAGACCCCTCGGGGGGGCAGGGCAGGGGGACAGCGGGACACGGGGACAGGCGGACAGACAGACAGGCGGACGGACAGGCGGACAGACAGACAGGCGGCCCCGCCGCACCGCCCGCCCGCCCCATTAGTATTCTGCGAGCGGCAGCGGCTGCTGCAGGGCGGGGGGTGCGGCGGGGCCGGACTGGGGGGCACTGGGAGGAACTGGGGGGCACTGGGAGGGACTGGGGGGCACTGGGAGGGACTGGGGGGCACTGGGAGGCACTGGGAGGGGATGGGGAGAGGGGTGTTGGCCAGTTGGGGGGGTTGGGGGGGGTTTGGGGGGGATAGGAGATGGGGGGGTCTCGTTGCAGGGGATTGGGGGGTTTTGGGGGAGGATGGAGAGGGAGATGGGGGGACTGGGAGGGACTGGGAGGAGATGGAGAGGGAGCTGGGACCCAGTTTGGGGGGCTGGGATGGGACTGGGGGGACTGGGATGGGATTGGGGGGGATGGAAAGGGGGTCAGGACCCAGTTTGGGGGGCTGGGGTGGGACTGGGGGGACTGGGATGGGGGAAATGGGGTGACTGGGGAGGGCTGAGTGAGGAATGGAAGGGGCTGGGGGTGAACTGGGGGGGGCTGGAATGGAAGAGGGGGGACTGGGAGGGACTGGAATGGGATTTGGGGGGAACTGGGAGGGACTGGAATGGAATTTGGGGGGACTGGGAGGGACTGGAATGGGATTTGGGGGGACTGGGAGGGACTGGAATGGGATTTGGGGGGACTGGGAGGGTTTTGGGCTGGAATGGGGGATACTGGAATGGACTGGGAGGAGCTGGGACCGAGCTCGGGGCTGTGGAATGCGGGGGGAGGCGGAACTGGGGGGGGAACTGGGGGGTGCTGGAGTTTAACTGGGGGGCACTGGTGACCAGTTTGGGGGGCTTGGCAGGGACTGGGATCCAGTTTGGGGGTGTCAGAGTGGCACTGGGGGCACTGGCATCCAACTGGGTGAACTGGGAGTGGACTGGGAGGCACTGGGGTCCCCGCTGGGGGGGGGGGGGGGATCCGATATTTTGGGGGACATTTGGACCTCCCCCTCACTGTCCCCTCCCCCCCACCAGGTGCAGCCACCAGGCCAACCCCCCCATTGTCCCCAACCCCCCCATTGTCCCCAACCCCCCCTGTGTGTGTGTCCCCAACCCCCCCATTGTCCCCAACCCCCCCAGTGTCCCCAAACCCCCGTGTGTGTCCCCAACCCCCCCATTGTCCCCAACTCCCTCTGTGTGTCCCCAACCCCCCCAGTGTCCCCAAGCCCCCCCAGTGTCCCCAAATCCCCCCCCGTGTGTGTCCCCACCCCCCCCAGTGTCCCCAATTTCCCCAGTGTCCCCAACTTGCCCAGTGTGTGTGTCCCAAACCCCCCCATTGTCCCCAAACTCCCCCGTGTGTGTCCCCAACCCCCCCAGTGTCCCCAATCCCCCCAGTGTCCCCAACCCCCCCCATTGTCCCCAATCCCCCCAGTGTCCCCAAGCCCCCCCGTGTCCTCTCCGCGTTGTCCCCACGACCGAGATGAGGCAGAGCCCCCCGGAGAGGAGCTTGGGCCAGGTAGGACCTGGAGGGGACCCGGAGGGGACACGGAGGGGACACAGGGGGTGGCACCAGGGCTGGGGACACGGGGGGACACAGGGGGTGTTGGGGACACAGGGGTGGCACCAGAGGTGGGGACACAGCGAGGGTGAGGGACAGCACAGAGGGGGACACAGCCGGTGTCGCTGGGGAGGGGACATTGACTGTTTGTCACCCCGTTGTCACGGGGACGGTGACACAGCTGTGCCTCCTGCCGGTGTGGGGACAATGACAGTGACACAGGAGTTGTGTCCCCCTCCGGCGGCGCGGGGACAGTCTGTCCTCGCCAGGGTGGGGATGGGGACATGGGTTTGTCCCCTCCTGCTGTTCTGGGGACGGTGGGGACAGAGGTTTGTCACCCGCTGGCACGGGTTTGTCCCTGCTGTTCTGGGGACAGTGACAGGGTTTTGTCACCTGCTGGCACAGGTTTGTCCCCTCTGTTTTGGGAATGGTGACAGGGTTTTGTCCCCGCTGTTTTGGGCACAGTGACAGGGCTTTGTCACCTGCTGGCACGGGTTTGTCCCTGCTGCTTTGGGGACAGTGACAGGGGTTTGTCCCTGCTGCTTTGGGGATGATGACAGGTCTTTGTCACCCCCTGGCACGGGTTTGTCCCTGCTGCTTTGGGGACAGTGACAGGGGTTTGTCACCCGCTGCCACGGGTTTGTCCCTGCTGTTCTGGGGACGATGGGGACAGAGGTTTGTCACCCGCTGGCACGGGTTTGTCCCTGCTGTTCTGGGGACAGTGACAGGGCTATGTCACCTGCTGTTCTGGGGACAGTGACAGGGGTTTGTCACCTGCTGTTCTGGGGACAGTGACAAGCGTTTGTCCCCACTGCTTTGGGGACAGGGACAGGGGTTTGTCACCTGCTGTTTTGGGGACGGTGACAGGGGTTTGTCCCCACTGCTTTGGGGACAGGGACAGGGGTTTGTCACCTGCTGTTTTGGGGACGGTGACAGGGCTTTGTCACCTGCTGTCACAGGTTTGTCCCCGCTGCTTTGGGCACAGTGACAGGGGTTTGTCATCTGCTGGCACAGGTTTGTCCCCGCTGCTTTGGGGACAGGGACAGGGGTTTGTCCCCACTGTTCTGGGGACAGTGACAGGAGTTTGTCCCTGCTGTTTTGGGGACAGTGACAGGGGTTTGTCACCTGCTGGCACAGGTTTGTCCCCGTTGTTTTGGGAATGGTGACAGGGGTTTGTCCCCGCTGTTTTGGGGACAGTGACAGGGGTTTGTCTCTGCTGTTTTGGGGACAATGACAGGGTTTTGTCATGCGCTGGCACAGGTTTGTTACTGCTGCTTTGGAGACAGTGACACAGGTTTGTCACCCCCTGGCACGAGTTTGTTTCTGCTGTTTTGGGGATGGTGACAGGGGTTTGTCACCCGCTGGCACGGGTTTGTTCCCACTGTTCTTGGGACAATGACACAGGTTTGTCACCGGTGTTTTAGGGCCAGTGACAGGGGTTTATTCTTGTCTTGGGGACAGTGACAGGGGTTTGTCCCCGCTGCTTTGGGCACAGTGACAGGGGTTTGTCACCTGCTGGCACAGGTTTGTCCCCTCTGTTTTGGGGACAGTGACAGGGGTTTGTCATCTGCTGTTTTGGGGACAGTGACAGGGGTTTGTCCCCACTGCTTTGGGGACAGTGACAGGGGTTTGTCACCTGCTGTTTTGGGGACGGTGACAGGGTTTTGTCACCCCCTGGCACAGGTTTGTCCTCTGCTGATTTGAGGATGGTGACAGGGGTTTTTCTCCGTTGTTTTGGGGACAGTGACACAGGTTTGTCACCCGCTGGCACAGGTTTGTCCCCTCTGCTTTAGGGACAGTGACAGGGGTTTGTCACCTGCTGGCACAGGTTTGTCCCCTCTGTTTTGGGGATGGTGACAGGGGTTTGTCACCTGCTATTTTGGGGATGGTGACAGGGGCTTGTCCCTGTTGTTTTGGGAATGGTGACAGGGATTTGTCACCCGCTGGCACGGATTTGTCCCCGCTGCTTTGGGGACAATGACACAGGTTTGTCACCTGCTGACACAGGTTTGTCACTGCTGTTTTGGGGACAGTGGCAGGGGTTTTTCACCTGCTGTTTTGGGGACGGTGACAGGGTTTTGTCACCCGCTGGCACAGGTTTGTCACTGCTGTTTTGGGGACAATGACACAGGTTTGTCACCCGCTGGCACAGGTTTGTCACTGCTGTTTTGGGGACAGTGACAGAAATTTATTTTTGCTGTTTTGGGGACAGTGACACTGCTTTGTCCTCGCTGGTTTGGGAATGGTGACAGGGTTTGGTCCCTCTGTTTTGGGGACGGTGACAGGTTTTTGTCACTCACTGGCACAGGTTTGTCCCCACTGTTTTGGGGACAGTGACAGGGTTTGTCACCCGCTGGTTTGTGGGTGGTAACAGGGTTTTGTGCTGGGGAGTTACTGGGGTTACTGGTGGTTACTGGTGGGCACTGGTGGTTACTGGTGGGCACTGGTGGGCACTGATATCTCCATGTCTGACCCTCCCCTGGCACTGGTGGTTACTGGTGGTTACTGGTGGTGACTGGTGGTTACTGGTGGTTACTGGTGGTCACCGGTGGGCACTGGTGGGCACTGGTGGTTACAGGTGGGCACTGGTGGTTACTGGTGGTTACTGGTGGTCACTGGTGGTTACTGGTGGTTACTGGTGGGCACCGGTGGGCACTGGTGGGCACTGGTGGTTACTGGTGGTTACTGGTGGTCACCGGTGGGCACCGGTGGTCACTGGTGGTAACTGGTGGTTACTGGTGGGCACTGGTGGTCACTGGTGGTCACTGGTGGTCACTGGTGGTCACTGGTGGGCACTGGTGGTCACTGGTGGGCACTGGTGGTTACTGGTGGGCACTGGTGGTTACTGGTGGTTACTGGTGGTCACTGGTGGTAACTGGTGGTCACTGGTGGGCACTGGTGGTCACTGGTGGTTACTGGTGGTCACTGGTGAGCACCGGTGGGCACTGGTGGTTACTGGTGGTCACTGGTGGGCACTGGTGGTTACTGGTGGTCACTGGTGGGCACTGGTGGGCACTGGTGGTTACTGGTGGGCACTGGTGGTTACTGGTGGGGCACCTCTATCTCCGTGTCCGACCCTCCCCTGTCACTGGTGGGCACTGGTGGTTACTGGTGGTCACTGGTGGTTACTGGTGGTCACTGGTGGTTACTGGTGGTCACTTGTGGGCACTGGTGGTTACTGGTGGGCAACGATATCTCCATGTCTGACCCTCCCCTGGCACTGGTGGGCACTGGTGGTTACTGGTGGGCACAGGTGGGCACTGGTGGGTACTGGTGGTTACTGGTGGGTACTGGTGGTTACTGGTGGGCACTGGTGGGCACAGGTGGTTACAGGTGGGCACTGGTGGTCACTGGTGGGCACTGGTGGGTACTGGTCGTTACAGGTGGGCACTGGTGGTTACTGGTGGGCACTGGTGGTCACTGGTGGGCACTGGTGGTTACTGGTGGTCACCGGTGGGCACTGGTGGGCACTGGTGGTTACCGGTGGTAACTGGTGGGCACTGGTGGTTACTGGTGGTTACTGGTGGTTACTGGTGGGTACTGGTGGGCACTGGTGGTTACTGGTGGTTACTGGTGGTTACTGGTGGTTACTGATGGGCACTGGTGGTTACTGGTGGGCACTGGTGGTTACTGGTGGGAACTGGTGGGCACTGGTGGTTACTGGTGGTTACTGGTGGTTACTGGTGGGCACTGGTGGTTACTGGTGGTTACTGGTGGTTACTGGTGGTCACTGGTGGTTACTGGTGGACACCGGTGGGCACTGGTGGTTACTGGTGGGCACTGGTGGTTACTGGTGGGCACTGGTGGGCACTAGTGGGCACAGGTGGTTACTGGTGGTTACTGGTGGGCACTGGTGGTCACTGGTGGGCACAGGTGGTTACTGGTGGTTACTGGTGGTTACTGGTAAGCACCGGTGGTCACTGGTGGTCACTGGTGGTTACTGGTGGGTACTGGTGGTCACTGGTGGTCACTGGTGGTTACTGGTGGGTACTGGTGGTCACTGGTGGTTACTGGTGGTTACTGGTGGGCACTGGTGGGCACTGGTGGTTACTGGTGGGCCCCGGTGGTCACTGGTGGTCACCGGTGGGCCCCGGTGGTTACTGGTGGTCACTGGTGGTTACTGGTGGTTACAGGTGGGCACTGGTGGTCACTGGTGGGCACTGGTGGTTACTGGTGGGTACTGGTGGGCACTGGTGGTTACTGGTGGTTACTGGTGGTCACTGGTGGTCACTGGTGGTTACTGGTGGTTACTGGTGGTTACTGGTGGTCACTGGTGGTTACAGGTGGTTACAGGTGGGCACTGGTGGGCACTGGTGGTTACTGGTGGGCACTGGTGGTCACTGGTGGTCACTGGTGGGCCCCGCTGGGCCGCGTCACTGACCCCACCCCCCGTGTCCCCGCAGGGCGCAGCGGCGGCGGCGCGATGAGCCCCCCGGTCGCCGTCCCCGCCGGCAGGATGCTGCTCGCCCTGGCCCTGGCCTGCGCCAGCCCCTTCCTGGAGCCGCCGGCGGCGCCGCGCCGGACGCTCAACGTGGCCGTGATCCTCAGCGGCGCCTCCTACGGCCCCGCCGGGCCCCGCCTGGCGCCCGGAACCTTCCGGAACTTCTCGCTGGACGTCAACCCCGTGGGGGTGGTGCTGAACGACACCAACCCGCGCAGCCTCATCGTGCGCCTGTGCGACGTGCTGTCCTCGCTGCGCATCCACGGCGTCGTCTTCGAGGACGACACGCGCTCCGAGGCCGTGGCGCAGATCCTGGACTTCATCTCGGCCCAGACCTCCGTGCCCATCATCGGCGTCAACGGCGGCTCCGCCATCGTCCTCACGCCCAAGGTGAGGCCCCACGAGTGACCCCAGCGTGTCTGGGGACGGCCAAATGTCCCCACATGGATCTGGGAATGACCGACTGTCCTCAAGCCAACAGTCTCCAACCCCAGTCCTGCCTAGGGGCACCCAGGTGTCCCCAGCTGTGTCCAGAGCCACCTGAATGTCCCCAGTGTGACCCCAGTGTGTCCAGAGCCACCCAACTGTCCCCAGCACGACCCCAGCCGTGTCTGGTGTCACCCAACTGTCCCCAGCACGACCCCAGCCGTGTCTGGAGACACCTGAATGTCCCCAACCAAGTCCAGGGGCACCCAAGTGTCCCCAGCTGTGTCTGGAGCCACCTGAATGTCCCCAACCAAGTCCAGGGGCACCCAAGTGTCCCCAGCTGTGTCCAGAGCCACCTGAATGTCCCCAACTCTGTCACATCCCAGTTGTGTCTGGAGCCACCTGAATGTCCCCAACTCTGTCACATCCCAGCTGTGTCTGGAGCCACCTGAATGTCCCCAACCCACCTGTCCCCAAGCCCCACCCGTGTCTAGTGTCACCCAAACATCTCCAACCACGTGTAGCTCCACCCACCTGTCCCCACCCCACCTGTCCCCAAACCCCACCCGTGTTCCAGCCCCACTTGACCGTCCTCAACCCAACCATCCCTGACCCCAACCGTGCCTAGCGTGACCCAACTGTCCCCAACGCGACGTCCCCAACCCGTGTCCCCTCCCCGTGTCCCCCCACCGCAGGAGAAGGGCTCCACCTTCCTGCAGCTGGGCTCCTCCACGGAGCAGCAGCTCCAGGTGATCTTCGAGGTGCTGGAGGAGTACGACTGGACGTCCTTCGCCGTGGTCACCACGCTGCTGCCGGGCTACGAGGACTTCGTGGACTACGTGGAGGTGCTGACGGACAGCAGCTTCATCGGCTGGGAGCACCGCGGCGTGGTCACCCTGAACCTGACCGACGACCCCGAGGGCGCGCGGACGCGGCGGCAGCTGCGCGAGGTGACGGCGCAGATCCGGCTGCTCTACTGCTCGCGCGACGAGGCCGAGGCCGTGTTCCGCGCCGCGCGCGACGCCGGCCTCGCCGGGCCCGGCTACGTCTGGTTCGTGGTGGGCACCAACCTGGGGGGCAGCGAGCAGCTGCCCGAGCACGTCCCCGCCGGGCTGTTCGCCGTGCTGTCGGCCGGCTGGCGCGACGACCTCCAGCACCGCGTGCGCAACGGCGTGGCCATCGTGGCCAAGGGCGCCGAGGCGCTGCTGCGCGACTACGGCTTCATCCCCGAGTTCAACAACGACTGCCGCGCACCCAACGTCACCCAGATCAACGACAACCTGCACCGGTGCGCCGGGGCGGCACCGCGGGGGGGACCGGTGGGGTTTGGGGGGTACTGGTGGATCTAGAGGAGGTTGGGGACAGTTGGGGACAGTTGGGTTGGGGAAAGTTGGGTTGGAGATGTTCAGGTGGCTCTGGACATGGTTGGGGACAGTTGGGGTGGGGAAAGTTGGGTTGGGGACGTTTGGGTGGCTCTAGAGGAGGTTGGGGTCAGTTGGGGACAGTTGGGTTGAGGACAGTTGGGTTGGGGACAGTGGGGTTGGGGATGTTCAGGTGACTCTGGACATGGTTGGGGACAAGGGGGTTGGGGACATTTGGGTGGCTCTGGACATGGTTGGGGTCAGGCTGGGGACAGTTGGGTTGGGGAAAGTTGGGTTGGGGACGTTTGGGTGGCTCTGGACATGGTTTGGGTTAGGTTGGGGGACAGTTTGGTTGGGGAATGTTGGGTTGGAGATGTTCAGGTGGCTCTGGACATGGTTGGGGACAGTTGGGTTGGGGAAAGTTGGGTTGGGGACATTTGGGTGGCTCTGGACATGGTTGGGGACAGTTGGGTTGGGGACAGTTGGGCTGGGGACAGTTGGGTTGCAGATGTTCAGGTGGCTCTGGACATGGTTGGGGACATTTGGATGGCTCTGGACATGGTTGGGGACAACGGGGTTGGGGACATTCAGGTGGCTCTAGACATGACATGGTTGGGGACAGTTGACTTGGGGACATTTGGGTGGCTCTGGACATGGTTGGGGTCAGGCTGGGGACATTTGGTGACCCCAGATGTGCTCGGGGTCGCGCTGGGGACATTTGGTGACCCCAGATGAACTCAGGGTCATGTTGGGGACATTCAGGTGACCCCAGACGCGCTTGGGATCGCGTTGGGGACATTCAGGTGACCCCGGACGTGCTCAGGGTCGCGCTGGGGACATTCGGACGTGCTCGGGGTCAGGTTGGGGACATTGGGGTGACCATAAACACACTTGGGGTCCCGCTGGGGACATTCGGGTGACCCCAAACACGTTCGGGGTCAGGTTGGGGACATTTGGTGACCCCGGACATTCTCGGGGTGGCACTGGGGACATTTGGTGACCCCGGACATTCTCGGGGTGGCACTGGGGACATTGGGTGACCCTGGCCATTCTCGGGGTGGCGTTGGGGACATTGGGTGACCCCGGCCATTCTCGGGGTGGCACTGGCAGGTACTTCATGAACATCACGTGGGGCCAGAAGGACTTCTCCTTCAACGAGGACGGGTACCTGGTGAACCCCTCGCTGGTCGTCATCTCCCTCAACAAGGAGCGCAGCTGGGAGGTGGTGAGTGCCACCCCTGGGGACAGCGGTGTCACCTGTGGGGTCAGGGTGTCACCTGTGGGACAGGGATGTCACCTGTGGGGTCAGGGTGGCACCTACAGGGTCAGGGTGTCACCTGTGGGGTCAGGGATGTCACCCCTGGGAGCAGAAGGTGCTGAGGTTCAAGTACCCGGTGTGGTCACACTGTGGGTGGTGACATCCCATCATGGTGACACCTGGTCCTGTCACCCTGTGGGTGTCCCCATGTGTCCCCAGATGCCACCACGTGTCCCCACATGTCCCCACGTGTCCCCAAGTGTCCCCTCAGGGAGCAGCAGGTGCTGCAGCTCAAGTACCCGGTGTGGTCACGCTGTGGGTGGTGACATCCCATCACGGTGACACCTGGTCCTGTCACCCTGTGGCTGTCCCCATGTGTCCCCAGGTGCCACCACGTGTCCTGAAGTGTCCCCACGTGTCCCCAGATGCCACCACGTGTCCCCACGTGTCCCCACGTGTCCCTAAATGTCCCCAAGTGTCCCCTCATGGAGCAGCGGGTGCTGAGGTTCAAGTACCCGGTGTGGTCACACTGTGGGTGGTGACATCCCATCATGGTAACACCGTGGCCTGTCACCTTCTGGGTGTCCCCACATGTCCCCAGATGCCACCACATGTCCCCACGTGTCCCTAAGTGTCCCTAATTGTCCCCACGTGTCCCCACGTGTCCCCTCAGGGAGCAGCGGGTGCTGAGGTTCAAGTACCCGGTGTGGTCACGCTGTGGGTGGTGACATCCCATCACGGTGACACCTGGTCCTGTCACCCTGTGGCTGTCCCCACGTGTCCCCAGGTGCCACCACGTGTCCCCAGGTGCCACCACGTGTCCCTAAGTGTCCCCAAGTGTCCCCTCAGGGAGCAGCGGGTGCTGCGGCTCAAGTACCCGGTGTGGTCACACTGTGGGTGGTGACATCTCATCATGGTGACACCTGGTCCTGTCACCCTGTGGCTGTCCCCACGTGTCCCCAGGTGCCACCACGTGTCCCCACGTGTCCCCAGGTGGGCAGCTGGGAGCAGCGGGTGCTGCGGCTCAAGTACCCGGTGTGGTCGCGCTACGGGCGGTTCCTGCAGCCGGTGGAGGACGGGCGGCACCTGACGGTGGCCACGCTGGAGGAACGTCCCTTCGTCATCGTGGAGAACATCGACCCCGCCACCGGCACCTGCATCCGCGACTCCGTGCCCTGCCGGCGCCAGCTCAACCGCACCGCCAGGTGGGACACCTGGCACGGGTGGGACACCTGGCACGGGTGGGGTGGCACTGACCAGGTGGGGACACCTGGGACAGGTGGGGTGGCACCACCAGGTGGGGCACACCTTGGACAGGTGGGGGTGGGACACACCTGGGACAGGTGGGGTGGCACCACCAGGTGGGGACACCTGGCACAGGTGGGGTGGCACTGCCAGGTGGGGTGGCATTGTCAGGTGGGGACAGCTGGGACAGGTGGGGTGGCACCACCAGGTGGGGACACCTGGGACAGGTGGGGTGGGGCACACCTGGGACAGGTGGGGGTGGCACCACCAGGTGGGCACACCTGGGACAGGTATTGGTGGCACTGACCAGGTGTGGCACACCTGGGACAGGTGGGGTGGCATTGTCAGGTGGGGACAGCTGGAACAGGTGGGGTGGCACTGTCAGGTGGGGACACCTGGGACAGGTGGGGTGGCACTGACCAGGTGTGGCACACCTGGGACAGGTGGGGTGGCATTGTCAGGTGGGGACAGCTGGGACAGGTGGGGTGACACTGTCAGGTGGGGACACCTGGGACAGGTGGGGTGGCACTGATGAGGTGGGGACACCTGGGACAGGTGGGGACAGCTGGGACAGGTGGGGACACCTGGCACAGGTGGGGTGGCACTGACGAGGTGGGCACACCTGGGACAGGTGGGATGGCACTGACCAGGTGGGCACACCTGGGACAGGTGGGGTGGCACTGCCAGGTGGGGGACAGCTGGGACAGGTGTTGGTGGCACTGACCAGGTGGGCACGCCTGGCACAGATGGGGGTGGCACCGCCAGGTAGGGGTGGCACTGCCCAGGTGGGGGACACACCTGTGTTCTGGAGGTGTCACTGTTCCCCTGGAGGTGACACTTTGGCCCTGGGGGTGTCCCTGGCAGCCTGGAGGTGTCCTCATCACCTTGCGGGTGTCCCCAAGACCCTGAAGGCGTCCCCAAGACCCTGGAGGTGTCCTCATCACCTTGCGGGTGTCCCCAAGACCCTGGAGGTGTCCCCACCACCCTGGGGGTGTCCCCAACACCTTGGGAGTGTCCCCAAGACCCTGGGGGTGTCCCCAAGACCCTGGAGGTGTCCCCACCACCCTGGGGGTGTCCCCAAGACCCTGGAGGTGTCCCCACCACCCTGGGGGTGTCCCCACGACCCTGGAGGTGTCCCCAGCACCCTGGAGGTGTCCCCACCACCTGGGGGTGTCCCCAAGACTCTGGAGGTGTCCTCATCACCTTGGGGGTGTCCCCAAGACCCTGAAGGTGTCTCCACCACCTTGGGGGTGTCCCCAAGACTCTGGAGGTGTCCCCACCACCTTGGGGGTGTCCTCATCACCTTGGGGGTGTCCCCACCACCCTGGGGTTGTCCCCAACACTTTGGGGTTGTCCCCAAGACCCTGAAGGTGTCCTCATCACCTTGTGGGTGTCCCTAAGACCCTGGGGGTGTCCCCAAGCCCCTGGAGGTGTCCTCATCACCTTGGGGGTGTCCCCAAGACCCTGGAGGTGTCCCCAAGACACTGGAGGTGTCCCCAACACCTTGGGGGTGTTCCCAGCCATCTGAGGGTGTCCCCAAGACTCTGGAGGTGTCCCCAAGACCCTGGGGACGCCCCCAGCAGTCTGGGGGTGTCCCCACCACTTTCGGGGTCCCCTGCAGCCCCCCACCCTTTGAGAAGAAGTGCTGCAAGGGGTTCTGCATCGACATCCTGAAGCGGCTGGCGCGGGCCCTGGGCTTCACCTACGACCTCTACCTGGTCACCAACGGCAAACACGGCAAGAAGATCGACGGCGTCTGGAACGGCATGGTGGGGGAGGTGGGACCCCAAAATCACCTCCCCGCACCCCAAAAACGCCCCTCGGAACCCCAAAAGTAACCCAAAACCCACCATGGAGACCCCCTGGTGATGGGGCAGGGGAGAGACCCCCAAGGAGGGTCAGGGAGGGCAACCAAGGAGGGATGGAGAGAAGGTGGGACCCCAAAAACACCTCCCCACACCCCAAAAATACATCCCCAAATCCCAAAAATACATCCCCAAATCCCAGAAATACATCCCCACACCCCAAAAATACATCCCCAAATCCCAAAAATACATCCCCAAATCCCAAAAATGCCCCAAAACCCACCATGGAGACCCCATGGTGATGGGGACTGGGGAGAGACCCCCAAGGAGGGTCAGGGAGGGCAACCAAGGGGGGATGGGGAGAAGGTGGGACCCCAAAAATACATCCCCACACCCCAAAAATACATCCCCAAATCCCAAAAATACACCCCCACATCCCAAAAATGCCCCAAAACCCACCATGGAGACCCCATGGTGATGGGGGCTGGGGAGAGACCCCCAAGGAGGGCAACCAAGGGGGGATGGGGAGAAGGTGGGACCCCAAAATCACCTCCCCACACCCCAAAAATACATCCCCAAACCCCAAAAATGCCGCTCTGAACCCCAAAAATTCCCCAAAACCCACCATGGAGACCCCATGACGATGGGGACTGGGGAGAGACCACCAAGGATGGTCAGGGAGGGCAACCAAGGGGGGATGGGGAGAAGGTGGGACCCCAAACAAACCTCCCCACACCCCAAAAATACATCCCCAAATCCCAAAAATACATCCCCAAATCCCAAAAATACATCCCCACACCCCAAAAATACATCCCCTCATCCCAAAAATGCAGCTCTGAACCCCCAAAATGCCCCAAAACCCACCATGGAGACCCCCTGGCGATGGGGACTGGGGAGAGACCCCCAAGGAGGGCAACCAAGGGGGGATGGGGAGAAGGTGGGACCCCAAAAATACATCCCCAAATCCCAAAAATACATCCCCAAATCCCAAAAATACATCCCCAAATCCCAAAAATACATCCCCACACCCCAAAAATGCCGCTCTGAACCCCAAAAATGCCCCAAAACCCACCATGGAGACCCCATGGCGATGGGGGATGGGGAGAGACCCCCAAGGAGGGCAACCAAGGGGGGATGGGGAGAAGGTGGGACCCCAAACACACCTCCCCACACCCCAAAAATACATCCCCAAATCCCAAAAATACCTACCCACACCCCAAAAATACATCTCCAAATCCCAAAATCACCTCCCCGCACCCCAAAAATGCCGCTCTGCACCCAAAAAATGCCCCAAAACCCACCATGGAGACCCCATGGTGATGGGGGCAGGGGAGAGACCCCCAAAGAGGGCAACCAAGGGGGGATGGGGAGAAGGTGGGACCCCAAAAATACATCCCCACACCCCAAAAATACATCCCCACACCCCAAAAATGCCCCTCTGAACCCCAAAAATGCCCCAAAACCCACCATGGAGACCCCCTGGCGATGGGGGCAGGGGAGAGACCCCCAAAGAGGGTCAGGGAGGGCAACCAAGGGGGGATGGGGAGAAGGTGGGACCCCAAAAACAGCTCCCCACACCCCAAAAATACATCCCCACATCCCAAAAATACATCCCCAAATCCCAAAAATACATCCCCAAATCCCAAAAATACATCCCCAAATCCCAAAATCACCTTCCCGCACCCCAAAAATGCCGCTCTGAACCCCAAAAATAACCCAAATCCCACCATGGAGACCCCATGGCGATGGGGGATGGGGAGAGACCCCCCAAGGAGGGCAACCAAGGGGGGATGGGGAGAAGGTGGGACCCCAAAAACACCTCCCCACACCCCAAAAATACATCCCCGAATCCCAAAAATACATCCCCAAATCCCAAAAATGCCCCAAAACCCACCATGGAGACCCCCCCGGTGATGGGGGCTGGGGAGAGACCCCCAAGGAGGGCAACCAAGGGGGGATGGGGAGAAGGTGGGACCAAAAAAAATCCCCCTGACCACACCCCCTCTGGCCACGCCCCTCTGGCCACGCCCCTCTGGCCACGCCCCTGACCACGCCCTGACCACGCCCTGCCCCGCCCAGGTGTTCTACCGCCGCGCGGACATGGCCATCGGCTCGCTGACCATCAACGAGGAGCGCTCCGAGATCATCGACTTCTCCGTGCCCTTCGTGGAGACCGGCATCAGCGTGATGGTGTCCCGCAGCAACGGCACCGTGTCCCCCTCCGCCTTCCTGGGTACCCCAAAACCCCAAAAACTCAACTGGGAATCCCCCAAAACCCAACTGGGATCCCCAAAACCCAACTGGGGTCCCTAAAACCCAACTGGGATCCCCCAAACCCAACTGGGATCTCCCAAATCCCAACTGGGATCTCCCAAACCCAACTTGGATCCATAAAAATCCAACTGGGATCTATAAAAATCCAACTGGGATCCCCCATAACCCAACTGGGATCCGCAAAACCCAACTGGGATCTCCGAAATCCCAACTGGGATCCATAAAAATCCAACTGGGATGTCCCAAACCCAACTGGGATCTCCCAATCCCAACCGACATCAGCGTGATGGTGTCCCGCAGCAACGGCACCGTGTCCCCCTCCGCCTTCCTGGGTACCCCGAAACCCCCAAAACTCAACTGGGAATCCCCAAAAACCAGCTGGGGTCCCTAAAACCCAACTGGGATCCATAAAAATCCAACTGGGATCTCCCAATCTCAACTGGGATCCATAAAAATCCAACTGGGATCTCCCAATCCCAACTGGGATCTCCCAATCTCAACTGGGATCCATAAAAATCCAACTGGGATCTCCCAAACCCAACTGGGATCTCCCAAAACCCAGCTGGGATCTCCCATAACCCAACTGGGATCCTCCAAAACCCAACTGGGATCTCCCAATCCCAACTGGGGTCCATAAAAATCCAACTGGGATCTCCCAATCCAAACTGGGATCCTCCAAACCCAACTGGGATCTCCCAATCCCAACTGGGATCTCACAAAACCCAACTGGGATCCCCCAAAACCCAACTGGGATCTCCCAAATCCCAACTGGGATCCATAAAAACCCAACTGGGATCTCCCAAACCCAACTGGGATCCCTAAAAACCAACTTGGATCCATAAAAACCCAACTGGGATCTACCAAAACCCAACTGGGATCCTCCAAAATCCAACTGGGATCCCCCAAACCCAACTGGGATCCATAAAAATCCAACTGGGACCCCCAAAACTCAACTGGGATCCTCCAAACCCAACTGGGATCTCCCAAATCTCAACTGGGATCCTCCAAAACCCAACTGGGATCTCCCAAACCCAACTGGGATCCTCCAAACCCAACTGGGATCTCCCAAACCCAACTGGGATCTCCCAATCCCAACTGGGATCTTCCAAAACCCAACAAGGATCCCCAAAACCCAACTGGGATCCTCCAAACCCAACTGGGATCCTCCAAACCCAACTGGGATCTCCCAGTCCCAACTGGGATCTCCCAAAATGCAACTGGGATCTTCCAAAGCCAACTGGGATCCCCAAAACGCAACTGGGACCCCCCTAATTCCAACTGGGATCCTCCAAACCCAACTGGGATCCCCCAAACCCAACTGGGATCTCCCAAAACCCAACTGGGATCTCCCCAATCCCAACTGGGATCTCCCAAACCCAACTGGGATCTCCCAATCCCAACCGACATCAGCGTGATGGTGTCCCACAGCAACGGCACCGTGTCCCCCTCCGCCTTCCTGGGTACCCCAAAACCCCAAATCCTGACTGGGACCCCCCAAAAACCAGCTGGGATCTACCAAACCCAACTGGGATCTCCCAAACCCAACTGGGATCTCCCAAACCCAACTGGGATCTCCCAAACCCAACTGGGATCTCCCAAACCCAACTGGGATCCTCCAAACCCAACTGGGATCCATAAAAACCCAACTGGGATCTCCCAAACCCAACTGGGATCTCCCAAACCCAACTTGGATCCATAAAAATCCAACTGGGATCTATAAAAATCCAACTGGGATCCCCCATAACCCAACTGGGATCCGCAAAACCCAACTGGGATCTCCCAAACCCAACTGGGATATCCCAAACCCAACTGGGATCCTCCAAACCCAACTGGGATCTCCCAAATCCCAACTGGGATCCCCCAAACTTCAACTGGGATCTCCCAAACCCCAACTGGGATCCATAAAAACCCAACTGGGATCTCCCAAACCCAACTGGGATCCTCCAAAACCCAACTGGGATCCCCCAAACCCCAACTGGGATCTCCCAAACCCAACTGGGATCTCCCAAACCCAACTGGGATCCTCCAAACCCAACTGGGATCTCCCAAATCCCAACTGGGATCTCCCAAAAACCAGCTGGGATCCTCCAAACCCAACTGGGATCCATAAAACCCAACTGGGATCTCCCAGTCCCAACTGGGATCCCCCAAAACCCAACTGGGATCCATAAAAATCCAACTGGGATCTCCCAGTCCCAACTGGGAATCCCCCAAAAACCAACTGGGATCCTCCAAAACCCAACTGGGGTCCATAAAAATCCAACTGGGATCTCCCAAACCCAACTGGGGTCCATAAAAATCCAACTGGGATCTTCCAAACCCAACTGGGATCCTCCAAAACCCAACTGGGATCCATAAAAACCCAACTGGGATCCATAAAAATCCAACTGGGATCTCCCAAACCCAACTGGAATCCATAAAAATCCAACTGGGATCCATAAAAATCCAACTGGGATCTCCCAATCCCAACTGGGATCCCTAAAACCAAACTGGGATCTCCCAAACTTCAACTGGGATCCATAAAAATCCAACTGGGATCCCCCAAAACCCAACTGGGATCCATAAAATCCAACTGGGATCCCCAAAACCCAACTGGGATCTCCCAAACCCAACTGGGATCCCCCAAAACCCAACTGGGATCCTCCAAAACCCAACTGGGATCTCCCAAACCCAACTGGGATCTCCCAAACCCAACTGGGACCCCCCAAATTCCAACTGGGACCCCCAAAACCCGATGTCCCTACGTGCCCAAAGAGTTCTACTGCTCTCCATGTCCCCATGTGTGTCCTGTGATGTCCCCTCCTGTCCCTTGATGTCCCCTGATGTCCCCAATCCCCCAATGTCCCCTGATGTCCCCACTGTCCCCAATGTCCCCCAATGTCCCCAATGTCCCCAATGTCCCCAATGTCCCCCAATGTCCCCAATGTCCCTGATGTCCCCAATGTCCCCAATGCCCCCAATCCCCCCAATGCCCCCAATCCCCCCAATGTCCCCAATGTCCCTGATGTCCCCAATGTCCCCAATGCCCCCAATCCCCCCAATGCCCCCAATCCCCCCAATGTCCCCAATGTCCCCAATGTCCCTGATGTCCCCAATCCCCCCAATGTCCCCAAATGTCCCCAATGTCCCCGATGTCCCCAATGTCCCCAATGTCCCCAATGTCCCCTGATGTCCCCGATGTCCCCTCGTGTCCCCGCAGAGCCGTACAGCCCGGCCGTGTGGGTGATGATGTTCGTCATGTGTCTCACCGTGGTGGCCGTCACCGTCTTCATCTTCGAGTACTTCAGCCCCGTGGGCTACAACCGGAGCCTGGCCAGCGGCCAGCGTGAGTGACCCCCTGTTCCCGTGTCACCCCTGTGTCACCACCCCCGTGTCACACCCCTGTGTCACCCCCGGTGTCCCCCAGGACTGGGCAGCTCCACCTTCACCCCTGACAAATCCATCAGCCGCTCTGGGTGTCAATGGATCCCCTCGTGTCCCCTCGTGTCCCCCACAGTGTCCCCTGTCCCTTGGTGGCCTCAGGTGACCCCAGGTGACCCCAGGTGACGCTGTCCCCTGTCCCCCCACCATCAGTGTGTCCATCTGGCTTCTGGTGGTGGCACCTTGTCCCTGTGTCCCTGTGCCACCCCAGGTGACCCCAGATGACCTCAGGTGACCTCAGGTGACCCAAGGTGGCCCCAGGTGACCCCAGGTGACCCTGTCCCCCAGGTGCCGGCGGCTCCACCTTCACCATCAGTGTGTCCATCTGGCTGCTGGTGGTGTCCCCTGTCCCTGTATGACCCCAGGTGACTTTGGGTGACCCCAGGTGACACAGGTGACCCCAGGTGACCCCAGGTGACCCTGTCCCCTGTCCCCCAGGCGCCGGTGGCTCCACCTTCACCATCGGCAAGTCCATCTGGCTGCTGGTGGTGTCCCCTGTCCCTGTATGACCCCAGGTGACCCAGGTGGCCCCAGGTGACCCCAGGTGCCCCCAGGTGACCCTGTCCCCCTGTCCCCTGTCCCCCAGGCGCCGGTGGCTCCACCTTCACCATCGGCAAGTCCATCTGGCTGCTGGTGGTGTCCCCTGTCCCTGTATGACCCCAGGTGACTTTGAGTGACCCCAGGTGACTTTGGGTGACCCCAGGTGACCCTGTCCCCCTGTCCCCTGTCCCCCAGGCGCCGGTGGCTCCACCTTCACCATCGGCAAGTCCATCTGGCTGCTGTGGGCGCTGGTGTTCAACAACTCGGTGCCGGTGGAGAACCCCAAGGGCACCACCAGCAAGATCATGGTGCTGGTCTGGGCCTTCTTCGCCGTCATCTTCCTCGCCAGCTACACCGCCAACCTGGCGGCCTTCATGATCCAGGAGGAGTACGTGGACACCGTGTCCGGCCTCAGCGACCGCAAGGTGACACCGGGGACACCGGGGGACACCGGGGGGACACTGGGGGGAACAGCAAGGGGGATATCATGGGGGATATCAAAGGGGACATCAGGGGGGATATCGGGGGGACATTAGGGGGACACCGGGGGGATATCAAAGGATATCAAAGGGGACATCAGGGGGGACACTGGGGGACAGCAGGGGGACACTTGGGGGACATCATGGGGGATATCAGGGGGGACAATAAGGGGGACACCAGGGGGGATATCATAGGGGACAGCAGAGGGGACAGCAGGGGGGACACTGGGGGGACATCATGGGGGACAGCAGGGGGATATCAGGGGGACATCTGAGGGGACAGCAGGGGGGACATCAGGGGGACACAGGGGAGGACACTGGGGGAACATCAGGGAGATATCAGGGGGACATCGGGGGGACAGCAGGGGGATATCAGGGGGACACTGTGGGGACACTGTGGGGACACTGAAGGACAGCAAGGGGGACATCAAGGGGGACGGAAGGGGGAACATAAGAGGACATCAGGGGGACATTGGGGGGACATCAGGAGGGATATCAGGGGGAACATCAGGAGGGACACAGTGGGGGGACGCTGTGAGGACACCGAAGGACAACTGGGGGACATCAAGGGGGGACACCGGGGGGACAGCAGGGGGGACACTGGGGGGAGACTGGGAGGACACCAGGGGACAATGGGGGGACATCAAGGGGAAACATCAGGGGGACACTGGGGGGACATCAAGGGAGATATCAGGGGGACATCGGGGGGACAGCAGGGGGATATCAGGGGGACACTGTGGGGACACTGTGGGGACACTGAAGGACAACGGGGGGACATCAAGGGGGGACAGCAGGGGGGACACTGGGAGGACACCAGGGGACAATGGGGGGACATCAAGGGGGAACATCAGGGGGATATCAGGGGGACATCGGGGGACATCAGGGGGGACACTGGGGGGACAGCAAGGGGGACATCAAGGGGGACAGAAGGGGGAACATAAGAGGACATCAGGGGGACACTGGGGGACATCAGGGGGACATCAGGGGGGACATTGGGGGGACACCAGGGGGGATATCAGGGGGACAGCAAGGGGGACTGTCAGGGGGGATATCATGGGGACATCGGGGGGACACTGGGGGGATATGAAAGGGAACATCAGGAGGGACACAGCGGGGGGACACTGTGGGGACACTGAAGGACAAGGGGGGGACACCAGGGGGACAGCAAGGGGGGACACAGGGGAGGACACGAGGGGACAATGGGGGGACATCAAGGGGGAACATCAGGGGGACACTGGGGGGACATCACTGGGGACATCAGGAGGGATATCAGAGGGGACAGCAGGGGGACACAGGGGAGGACACTGGGAGGATACCAAGGGGACATCAGGGGGAACATCAGAGGGACAGCAAGGGGACACAGTGGGACACCAGGGGAACACCAGGTTTTGGGGGCGTGGTGTCACTTTTGGGTGTCACTTTTGGGTGTCACCTTTGGGTGTTGATGGGTCCCTGTTAGCGCAGGTGCATTTTTGGGCGTTCCCACGGATTTTTGGGGTTCCTGAGGTGATTTTGGGGTGTTTTGGGGTGCAGTTCCAGCAGCAGAACCCTTCTGAAGTTCAGGAGGTGTTGAGGGCATGGAGTCACTTCTGGGTGTCACTTTTGGGTGTCACCTTTGGGTGTTTGGTGGGTGTATTTGGGTCCCTGTTAGCACAGGTGCGTTTTTGGGCGTTCCCACGTATTTTTGGGGTTCCCGAGTTGATTTTTGGGGATTTTGGGGCGCAGTTCCAGGAGCAGCACTCCCATGAAACTCAGGAGATGTTGAGGGTGTGGTGTCATTTTGGGTGTCACTTTTGGGTGTCACCTTTGGGTGTTTGGTGGATGTTGGTGGGTCCCTGTTAGCGCAGGTGCATTTTTGGGCGTTCCCATGGATTTTTGGGGTTCCTGAGGTGATTTTTGGGGTTTTGGGGCGCAGTTCCAGCGGCCCCAGGAGCAGTACCCCCCGCTGAAGTTCGGCACGGTGCCCAACGGCAGCACGGAGAAGAACATCCGCAGCAATTACCCGGCCATGCACAGTTACATGGTGCGCTACAACCAGCGCGGCGTGGAGGACGCGCTGCAGCACCTCAAAACCGGGTACGGGGGAGATAACGGGGGAAAAACGGGGTACGGGGGAAAAATAATGGGGTACAAGGGGGAAAATGGGGGAAATAATGGGGTATGGGGGAAAAATGGGGGAGAAATGGGGTACGGGGGGAGAAAATGGGGGAAAAAACAGGGTACGGGGGGAGATAACGGGGTACAGGGAAAAAAATGGGGGAAAAAATGGGGTACGGGGGAGAAAATGGGGGAAAAACGGGGTATGGGGGGGAATAATGGGGGAAAAAATGGGGTATGGGGGGAGAAAACGGGGTACGGGGGGAGAAAATGGGGGAAATAATGGGGTACAGGGGGAGAAAATGGGGGAAAAAACGGGGTACGGGGGGCAATAATGGGTTATGGGGGGGAAAATGGGGGAGAAATGGGGTATGGGGGGGAAAATGGGGGAGAAATGGGGTACAGGGGAAATAATGGGGTATGGGGGGCAAATAATGGGGTACGGGGGGGAAAATGGGGGAAAATGGGGTACAGGGGGAAATAATGGGGGAAATAATGGGTTATGGGGGGGAAAATGGGGGAGAAAATGGGGTATAGGGGAAAAAATGGGGGAAAAGACGGGGTATGGGGCAAATAATGGGGTATGGGGGGCAAATAATGGGGTACGAGGGGGAAAATGGGGGGAATAATGGGTTATAGGGGGAAAATGGGGGAGAAAATGGGGTACGGGGGAAGTAATGGGGTATGGGGGAGAAAATGGGGTACAGGAAGAAAAATGGGGCACAGGGAGGAAATGGGGTACAGGGGGAAGAAATGGGGGGAAAATGGGGTAAAGGGGAAGAAAATTGGGGTACAGGGGGAATGGGGGAGTGTCTGGGGGGGAGGAGCCTGGAGGGGGAGTGGCTTCAGGTAAATGGGCGTGGTTTGGGTGGGCGTGGCACATGATGGGCGGGACCAAAGGGGGAGGGGCTTAAGAGGTTTGGGGTGGGGCTTTACGGCAGTGGGCGGAGCCTGGTGGCAAGTGGGCGTGGTTATTGTGTAATTTATGCAACGGGTGTGGCTTTGGGGGCGTGGCTTGAGTACAGGTGTGTTATTTGTGGGCGGGGCTTAGTGTACAGGTGAGTGTGCGCTATAGGTGATGTGGGCGTGGCCTGTAGGTGATGGGCGGGGTTTGTGGGGATTGATGGCACCATGGCTGATCCTGTGGGCGGGGCTAAGTGCCCAGGTGAGGCAGTGGGCGGGGCTTTGGGGCTGTGGGTGGTGTCATGTGGGCGTGGCCTATACAATGTGGGCGTGGCTTATGATTATTGACAACATCGTTGGTTACATTGTGGGCGGGGCTTAGTGCACAGGTGAGGCTGTGGGCGGGGCTAAGTGCACAGGTGAGACAATGGGCGGGGTTTAGATGCTGTGGGCGTGGCCTATTGGTTGTGGGCGTGGCTTTGGGGGTATCGCCACCTGCCCAGGTGAGGCTGTGGGCGGGGCTAAATGCCCAGGTGAGGCAGTGGGCGGGGCTAAGTGCCCAGGTGAGGCTGTAGGTGGGGCTAAGTGCCCAGGTGAGGATGTGGGCGGGGTCTGGGTGCTGTGGGCGGGGTTTAGGTGCTGTGGGCGGGGTCTGGGTGCTGTGGGCGGGGTCTGGGTGCTGTGGGCGGGGTCTGGGGGCGGTGGGCGGGGTCTGGGTGCTGTGGGCGGGGTCTGGGGGCGGTGGGCGTGGCTGAGGCCGGTGGGCGTGTCCCGCAGGAAGTTGGACGCCTTCATCTACGACGCGGCGGTGCTGAACTACATGGCGCGCAAGGAGGAGGGCTGCAAGCTGGTCACCATCGGCTCGGGGAAGGTCTTCGCCTCCACCGGCTACGGCATCGCCCTGCAGAGGGGATCCCGCTGGAAGCGCCCCGTGGACCTGGCCCTGCTCCAGCTCCTGGGGGACGGTGGGTTTGGGGGTCCCTGAGGGGTTTTATGGGGGTTTTGGGGCCGTTTTGGGTCCCCACGGCATCGCCCTGCAGAGGGGGTCCCGCTGGAAGCGCCCCGTGGACCTGGCCCTGCTCCAGCTCCTGGGGGACGGTGGGTTTGGGGGGTCTCTGAGGGGTTTTGGGGGCGTCTTTGGAGACCCAAACCCCCCGAGATGCCCTCAAACCCCCTGAGATGCCCCCAAACCCTTCTGAAATGCCCCCAAACCCCCCAAAACTCTCCCCAAACCCCCCGAGATGCCCCCAAACCCCCCAAGAGTCTCCCCAAACCCCCCAAGATTCTCCCCAAACCCCCCAAGATTCTCCCCAAACCCCTCTGAGATGCCCCCAAACTCCCCAAGATTCTCCCCAAACCCCTCTGAAATGCCCCCAACCCCTCTGAGATGCCCCCCAAACCCTGTGAGACGCCCCCAAACCCCTCTGAGATGCCCCCAAACCCCTCTGAGATGCCCCCAAACCCCTCTGAGATGCCTCCAAACCCCTCTGAGATGTCCCCAAACCCCTCAAGATGCCCCCAAACCCCCCGAGATGCCCCTAAACCCCTCTGAGATGCCTCCAAACCCCTCTGAGATGCCCCCAAACCCCTCTGAGATGCCCTCAAACCTCTCTGAAATGCCCCCAAACCCCTCTGAGATGCCCCCAAACCCCTCTGAAATGTCCCTAAACCCCTCTGAGATGTCCCCAAACCCTCTGAGATGCCTCCAAACCCCTCTGAGATGCCCTCAAACCCCTCTGAGATGTCCCCAAACCCCTCAAGATGCCCCCAAACCCCTCTGAGACGCCCCCCAAGCCCCTCTGAGATGTCCCCAAACCCCTCTGAGATGCCCCCAAACCCCTCAAGATGCCCCCAAATCCCCAAGATTCTCCCCAAACCACTCGAGATGCCCTCCAAACCCCTCTGAGATGCCTCCAAACCCCTTCGAGATGCCCCCAAACCCTCTGAGATGTCCCCAAACCCCTCTGAGATGCCTCCAAACCCCTCTGAGATGCCTCCAAACCCTCTGAGATGCCTCCAAACCCCTCTGAAATGCCTTCAAACCTCTCTGAGATGCCCCCAAACCCCCTGAAATTCTCCCCAAACCCCTCCGAGACGCCCCCCAAACCTTCCCTGACCGCTCTCCCCCGGCCGTCCCCAGATGAGATCGAGATGCTGGAGCGGCTGTGGCTGTCTGGGATCTGCCACCAGGAGAAGCTGGAGGTGATGAGCAGCAAGCTGGACATCGACAACATGGCCGGGGTGTTCTACATGCTGCTGGTGGCCATGGGGCTGAGCCTGCTGGTCTTCGCCTGGGAGCACCTGGTGCACTGGAAGCTGCGGCACCTGGGCACGCCCGGGCGGCTGCGCTGCCTGCTGGCCATCAGCAGGGTAGGGGACAGCGGGGACAGCGGGGACAGCGGGGGGATTGGGGACATTGGGGGGATTGGGGACGTTGGGGACGTTGGGGACATTGGGGGGATTGGGGACATTGGGGACATTGGGGGACATTGAGGACATTTGGGGGGTCACAGGGACATTGGGGACATTGGGGGGACATGGGGGGACATTGGGGGGATTGGGGGGATTTGGGGACATTGGGGACATTGGGGACATGGGGACATTGGGGACATGGGGACATTGGGGACATTGGGGACATTGGGGACATTGGGGACATTGGGGGTGTGGGGACATTGGGGACATTGGGGACATTGGGGATATTGGGGGGATTGGGGGTGTGGGGGACATTGGGGGGATTTGGGACATTCGGGGACATTGGGGGTGTGGGGATGTGGGGACATCAGCAGGGTACGGGGACATGGGGACATGGGGGGGATTGGGAACATGGGGGTGTGGAGACAACGTGGACATCAGCAGGGTAGGGGACAGCGGGGACAGCGGGGACACTGGGGACATTGGGGACATTGGGGATGTGGGGACATTGGGGACATTGGGGACATTGGGGGGATTGGGGGATTGGGGACACTGGGGGGATTGGGGACAATGGGGGGGATTGGGGACATTGGGGACATTGGGGGGATTGGAGGTGTGGGGGACATTGAGGGACACTGAGGACACTGGGGACATTGGGGACATTGGGGACATTGGGGACGTTGGGGGGATTGGGAACGTTGGGGGTATGGGGACGTTGGGGACATTGGGGGTGTGGGGGACATCGGGGGGGTTGGGGGATATTGGGGGTGTGGGGGACATTGGGGACGTTGGAAGAGATTGGGGGGATTGGGGATATTTGGGACATTTGGGGGGATTTGGGACATTGGGGACATTGGGGGCATTGGGGACATTGGGGACATTGGGGACATTGGGGACATTGGGGACATTGGGGGGTTGGGGACATTGGGGGGGTTGGGGACATTGGGGGGGTTGGGGACATTGGGGGGGTTGGGGACATTGGGGGGGTTGGGGACATTGGGGGGATTCAGGACATTTGGGGGGTCACAGGGACATTGGGGACATTGGGGACATCAGGGACGTGGGGGGACTGGGGACACTGGGGACATTGGGGATATTGGGGACATTGGGGACATTGGGGACATTGGGGGGATTGGGGACATTGGGGACATTTGGGACACTGGGGTGACATTGGGGGACAGAGGGACACTGGGGGGACACCAGAGGCCATCGGGGGTCACACGGGGCCATCGGGGGTCACACGGGGACAGTGTGGGGACACTCCGTGCCCCCCCCCAACACCACCATGTCCCCCCCCCCCTTTAGGGCATGTACAGCTGCTGCAGCGCCGAGGACCCCCCCACACCCCCCCACGCCCTCCGCGCCCCCCCCACCCCCCCACGCCCCCCGCCCTCCCCACGCCCCCCCCCCCCCGCGACCGCCGCCCCCCCCCCGAGCGGTGGCGCCCCCCCCGCACGCCCCCCGCCCCCTTCCACCGCTTCTACGGCCCCATCGGGCCGCAGGGGCTGGGCCGGGGGGGGGCGGGGGGGGGGTCCTGCCCGCGCTCCCCTCCCCCCCCGGAGCCCCTCACCCCCCCCTGGCCCCGCCGCCCCCCCCGCGGCCCCTTCGAGCCTTTGGGGGGGCCCCGGGACGAGCCCGACCCCCCCTTCGCCTACGCCCGTTTGGCGTACGAGGACGAGCGGAGCCCCCCCGCGCCCCCCCGGGACCGGCCCCGCCGCCCCCCACGTGGGGGGCTGGGGGGGGACCCCGAAACTCAACCGCTGCTGCGGCCCCCCCGCCCCCACCTCTGCCGGGGGCACCCCCCGCCCCATTTCTCACCGCCCCCCCCCCACCCCGCGCTGTACCCCGACATCTCCGACTCGGACTCGGAGTGCTGCGAGGCCGCCCCTCCCCCACCGCCCCCCGCCCCTCCCCCACCGCCCCTCCCCCCCCAAACGCCGCCGCCCCCCCCCGGCGCCCCCCCCGGCCCGTGCTGGTGCGCGCCCCTCCCCCCCCCCCACGCCCACCCCCCTTATTTCTGCACCGTGCCCGGCCGCGAGCGCGGCCCCCCCGCGCCCCCCCCGGGCCGCTGCTGGTCGGCCGAGAAGTTGGGGGGTCCCTGGGCCGGCTGGGGCAGCCTGGAGCTTTTGGGGTCCCCCCCCCCCGGGCCGTACGCGCCCCTCCCCCCGCTGCCCCCCCGCTGCCGGAGCTGCTCCGCCGAGCGGCTCCGCGAATGGGGGGGGGGCGAGGGGCGCTGGGGACCCCCCCTCACCCCCCCGGGATATTGGGGGGGAGCTCCCCCCGCCCCTCCCCCGCCCTGGGCCGGGTTTTGGGGGGGAGGGGCGCCCCTCCCCCCGCGGCGGCACCGCCCCCCCCCCTGCGCGCGCCGCCCCCCCCCCGCCTCGCGCAGTCTGGAGGACCTGAGCGGGTGGGGGGGGGCGGGGGGGTGGGGGGGGATGTGGGGGGGGGCGGGGGGGTGGGGGCACCCCCTCCCCCACCCACACCCCCACCCCCACCGGGGGGCGCCCTCCCCGCCCCCGCCCCTCCCCCACCACCACCACGGCTGCGGGGGGGGGAGGGGCGGGGGGGCGGAGCCGCCGCTGGGGGCGCGCAGAGGCTCCGCCCACTTCTCCAGCCTCGAGTCCGAGGTGTGACCGGGGGGTCACCTGGGGTCACCTGGGGTCACCTGGGGTCACACCTGGGACACACCTGGGGTCACACCTGGGGTCACACCTGGGGTCACACCTGGGGTCACACCTGGGGTCACCTGGGGACAGTTCTGGGACACAGCTGGGGTCACACCTGGGACACAGCTGGGGACAGCAGGGACAGTCCTGGGGTCACCTGGGAGAGAGGGGACATCCCTGGGGACACCCGAGACACAGCTGGGGACAGTCCCGGGGTTACACCCAGGGACACCTGGGACACACCTGGGGACACCCGGGGACAGTCCTGGGACACCTGGGACACAGCTGGGACACACGGGGACACCTGGGACACACCTGGGATACAGCTGGGAGAGAGGGGACACCTGGGGACAGTCCTGGGACACACCTGGGGACACTTGGGAACACCTGGGACACCCCCGGGGACAGAGAGGGGACATCCCCAAGCACCCCCTGGCCACAGCTGGGGACACCTGGGCACACCTGGGAGAGAGGGGACACCCTGGGGACACCCCGGGGACAGAGAGGACACCAAGGACATCCCTGGGGACACCCCGGGGACACCCCGGCCACCCCCGCGGTGACAGCGAGGACACGGAGGGGCCCCCCCGGCCCCTGAGGTGACAGTGGGGACAAGGACAGGGACACGGCGGGGCCCCGTGGCCGGCGGTGACACTGAGGAGGAAAAGATGTCACCCGGGTGACACCGGCCAGGACAAGGCCAGGTCCTGGTGACAGCGGCGAGGACAAGGACACGTCCCCACGAGGTGACACCGGGACAAGGACACAGACACATCCCCACGAGGTGACACCGGGACACGGACACGTCCCCATGAGGTGACACCGAGACACAGACAGGAACCCACGAGGTGACACCAGGACAAGGACACGGATACGTCCCCGTTGCACCGAGTGACAACGAGGACAGCGATCACAAGGTCCCTGTGGCCTCGGAGGTGACACCAGGAGGACGAGGACAGCTGGGTGGCACCGAGGTGACACGGTGACAAGGATGGGGACAGGTCCCCGCTGAGGACGCGTTTGGTCCCCTGAAGTGCCACCACCACCAAGAGCCGCGTCACCGCGTCCCAGGGGTGACACCACGGCCACCAAGAGAGCCCCAGGGGACAGCTCGGAGTGGCCCTGTCCCTGCAGGTGACACCGGGACCCCACGGGTGACACCAACCAATGCCTGTCCCCACAGGTGACACCGCGTCCCTGTGGGTGACACCAAATCCCCGTGGGTGGCACTGTGACCCCGTGGGTGACCTCACATCCCTGTGGGTGGCACTGTGACCCCATCAGTGTCACCACGTCCCTGCAGGTGTCACTGTGACCCCACTGGTGACATGATGTCCCTGTGGGTGACACCAAATCTCTGTGGGTGACACTGTGACTTCATGGGTGACACTGTGACCCCACAGGTGGCACTGTGACCCCATTGGTGACACGATGTCCCTGTGGGTGACACTGTGACCCAACAGGTGACACCAAATCCCTGTGGGTGACACCGTGACCCCACAGATAGCACTGTGACCCCGTGGGTGACACTGTGACCCGATTGGTGGCACTGTGACCCCACAGGTGACACCACATCTCTGTGGGTGACACTGTGACTTCATGGGTGACACTGTGACCCCACTGGTGACATAACATCCCTGTGGGTGACACCGTGACCCTGTTGGTGACACCACATCTCTGTGGGTGACACTGTGACCCCACTGGTGGCACCGTGACCCCATTGGTGACACTGTGACCCCATTGGTGACACCACGACCCTGTGAGTGACACCGTAACCCCACTGGTGGCACCGTGACCCCACGGGTGACACTGTGACCCCACTGGTGACACTGTGACCCCATTGGTGGCACCGTGACCCTGTGAGTGACACTGTGACCCCACAGGTGACACTGTGACCCCGTTGGTGACACTGTGACTTTGTGGGTGACACTGTGGCACTGTGGGTGACACCGTGACCCCAGTGGTGACACCGTGACCCCACTGGTGGCACCGTGACCCCACGGGTGACACCGTGACCCCACGGGTGACACTGTGACCCCATTGGTGACACCATGACCCTGTGAGTGACACCGTGACCCTGTGGGTGACACTGTGACCCCCCAGAGCCCCCGAGGACACCACGGTGTCCCCTCCCCCCCCCCCCCCGCGCCGTGGGGGATGGGCTGGCACCATCCGCTGTCCCCTCCCCCGCCCCGCTGCTGCTGACGTTTTTAATTAACCAATTAATCAATTAATTAATTAATTAATGGGGGGGAGGGGGGAGGGGGGAGACGAAACTGTGAGTGACGGTGACACCGCGACACGGGTGACACCGTGACATCGCCACACCGCGACTGTGATCCCGGGGCCACCCGCGGGCCCTGCGCCCCTCCCCCGTGTCCCTGTCCCTGTCCCTGTCACCCCTCATGTCCCTGTCACCCCCCCCGTGTCCCCCCTGCCACTCCCATGTGTCCCTGTCACTGCCACATGTCCCTGTCACCCCCGATGTCCCCCGTCACCCCCCGATGTCCCCCGTCACCCCCCGTGTCCCTGCCACTCCCATGTGTCCCTGTCACCGCCCGTGTCCCCCCTGTCACCCCCATGTGTCCCTGTCACTGTCCCTGTCACCCCCCTGTCACCCCCACATGTCCCTGTCACCCCCCTCGTGTCCCTGTCACCCCCAATGTCCCTGTCACTTCCCCCATGTCCCTGCCACCCCCCGATGTCCCCCCTGCCACCCCCACATGTCCCTGTCACCCCCATGTCCCTGTCACCCCCGATGTCCCCCCTGCCACCCCCCCCGTGTCCCTGTCACCTCCCCCCGTGTCCCTGTCACTGTCCCTGTCACCCCCCTGTCACCTCCCCGTGTCCCTGTCACCTTCGATGTCCCTCCTGCCACCCCCGTGTCCCTGTCACCCCCCCCGTGTCCCTGTCACTGTCCCTGTCACCCCCCTGTCACCCCCCGTGTCCCTGCCACCCCCCATGTCCCTGTCACCCCCCCTGTGTCCCTGCCACCCCCCTGTCCCTGTCACCCCCCTTGTGTCCCCCCACCACCCCCCCGTGTCCCTGTCACCCCCCTCATGTCCCTGTCACCTCCCTGTCCCTGTCACCCCCCTGCCACCTCCACATGTCCCTGTCACTGTCCCTGTCACCCCGATGTCCCTCCTGTCACCTCCACATGTCCCTTTGTCCCCACAATGTCCCCATGTCCCCCATGTCCCTGTCACCCCCCATGTCCCCAATGTCCCTGTCACCCCACGTGTCCCTGTCACCCCCCAATGTCCCCAATGTCCCCAGCCCCACCCAATAAAGCTTTTGTATTCCTGCTCCAGCCACGGGAGAGGACACGGGTGACACGGGAGGGGACACGGGAGGGGACAGGGGAGGGGACACTGGGGCGCCACCCACCAGGGACCCTCCCAAGACCCCTCCCCATTTTAAGGCCATTTCCACTTTTTTTTTGTAGTTGTTGTAGGTTTATTTTTCTTTTTTTTTCTTTTTTTGTCACTTTTTATTTCGCGGCCGTTTCAATTCCCCGCGTGAAAAAATAGCTCTGAGCCCCTCCCCCACCCCCCCGAACGGGGCCCCCGCCCCTCCCCCACCCCCCGGGGGCCCCCCCCGTTTGGCACAGCCCCTCCCCCCCTTCCTGAGTCAGAGACCCCCCCCAAAACGGGGGGCGCACCCCCCCCCCCAAAAAACAACCCCGGAGATGAGGGGGGGAGGGGGGATTGCACCGATCCCAGGGGAGGGAGGGGGGGTCATGAATATTCATGAGGTGTTAATAAATAGTAATTAAAGGGGGGGAGCTCGTTACAGCGCAGCCCGGGGGGGGAGGGGCTGGAGACCCTCCCCCCAAAAAGCGCGAGAGGCGTCGGGGCCCCCCCAAACATGCAGCGAATTGGGGGGGGGGGAGGGGGAAGGGAGCGGCCAGGGAGCAATTAGTCCTCATTAGCATCTCATTTGCATAGGAGTCATTGCATAAGGCTCCCGCCGCGCTGGGGAGGGGGGAGGAGCTGGGGGAGGGGAGGACCCCAATAAATGGGGAACCCCCCAGAGTGGGGGGGGAGGGTGGGTTTAGGGTGATTCAGGGGGTTTTGGGGGTTTTTTGCATATTACAATAAATACCGGCGGGTCGGACATGCAGACATGCTGGTCGGGGGCGGGGCGCCCTGGGGGGCCCCACCCCCAAACTGCCGCCCCCAGGGACCCCCCCCTGGGGGGGGGGGGGAAACAGGTTTGGGGGGGTCCCGGCCCCCCCCAAAGGGGGCAAGGCCTGTTTTGGGGGCTCTGGCCTGCGCCCGTTACCATGGAAACGCAGCCTGGCCTCGCAGTGAGGGCTCAGGCCTGCTCCCGTTACCATGGAAACGCAGCCTGGCCTCGCAGTAAGGCCTTAGGCCTAGTCCCGTTACCATGGAAACGCAGCCTGGCCTCGCAGTGAGGGCTCAGGCCTAGCCCCGTTACCATGGAAACAGAGCCTGGCCTCGCAGTGAGGGCTCAGGCCTAGTCCCGTTACCATGGAAACGCAGCCTGGCCTTGCAGTGAGGGCTCAGGCCTAGCCCCGTTACCATGGAAACAGAGCCTGGCCTCGCAGTGAGGGCTCAGGCCTAGTCCCGTTACCATGGAAACAGAGCCTGGCGTTGCAGTGAGGGCTCTGGCCTGCTCCTGTTACCATGGAAACACAGCCTGGGACTGTAGTGAGGACTCTGGCTTGGTGTTGTTACCATGGAAACAGGGCCTGGACTAACAGCAGCGCTCAGG